TGTGTGGGGGTCGTTCTGGCCACTACACAACTCTACTTGATGAGGTGAGAACTGAAGATGAGAAGGCATTCTTCAACTACACAAGGCTTCCCAGAGGGCTCTATGATGAAGTGCTCAGAAGGAAAGAGGACAGTATAATAAAGAAGTACACATAGTACCGAAGGTCACTCCCCCTGGTCTCAAACTGACAATCACTCTCCGACACCTGGTCTGTGGTGATGATCGTCCAAGCCTTTCAAAAAACTTTAGCGTTGCTCCAAATACAATCTCACTCATCATCAGTGAAGTCTGCGATGCCACCAAAGCTGAGTTTGCTGCTGAGGTGATTCAGTGCCCAGTTTCAACTGAAGAGTGGGCTGTCATTGCTGAGCAGGTTGAGAGGAGATGGCAGTTCCCACACTGCCGTGGTGCTTTGGATGGCAAGCATGTGGCAGGCACCTGGCCCTGGAACACGGGTTCTGACTACAGAAACTACAAGGACTTCTTCTCCATTATGACGCAGACTACAGGTTTCAGTGGATTGACGTTAGCTCTGACGGCTCCAACAATGATGCCAGTATCTACAATGGATCAGAACTAAAGGAAGGTCTGGAGAGTGAGAACAACACATTCAACCTGCCTGATGAAAAGCGTCTACCTGGGGATGATGTTCCTGTGCCTTAATTTCATAACTGGGGACAATGCTTTTTCGCCTCAACAACAAGCGTCTGATGAACCCGTTTTCTATTTGAAATATGGGGCAACATGAGAGATTATTCAATTATTGACTCTCAAGAGCCAGGGCCCATTCCCCGAAGCGATCGTAGTTAGTCGTAAGTCTATGTTAAAGTATGGGAGTTACGATCATCTTAGCGCTACGATCGTTTTGTGGAACGGGACCCAGACGTGTAGTTGAGAATGTCTTTGACATTCTGGCGCACACGTTCCGAGTTTTGCTCAGAACTATGAATAAGAGAACAGAAACATACAGAAAGATCGTCACAACCTGTGCCATACTTCACAACTTCATTAGAATGAGATACCCTGCCACCCACAGTAACCTAAATGATTTTGAGGCCCAAAACCATAATGTGACCCCAGGCTCCTTGAGAAAGGACGAAGTGCTGTCTGATGTATACCATGAGAAGGCCATGATTGCTGGCACCCAACAGGGGAGACAGACCAGAAGACATCTGGGTCATTATTTGGCATCCAAGGCTGACTCAGTGCTGATATTGTCATGATTATGGAAATACTTTTGTGGCAATGTTGATATAACCAGAAAATTGTACCATGATCTTTTTGCATATTGCATTGTAACTTGAATTGTGCTCAAGAGAATGATTTGAATTGAATATGTGAATTGAGCAATAAATATGTTTTTCAAACATTGCATGTATTTTTTTGTCTGTGTTTCACTTCATAGTAAAAGTACAAAAATATTTGAATTTAAATGATTCTCAATTTTGATAATTATAAAATTATGGCGAACATTTTGATAATTTTCATATCTTAAGTTTTCCAACTTGTAAATGTCACAAATAATTTGAAATGATAACTATAGTAACTTGCTACTTTTCTAATAACATCAACATTTAACACCCTTCCCCTTCGATGGTTACAGACTGATTGCTGTCTTCTGCGACTTGTATGTCCTCAGTTTCCTCCACTTTCCTCTTCTGACTTCTCCCTGTACCAGCCGGCTTCCTTCCCCTGCCTTGCCTGGTTTGAGTGGCATGTTAAAGTGGAATTAAAGTTGAAATCAACTGAGTTGTGCTCCCAAGAATCTCCGAACACCAATTGAAATCCCAACAATCGCCGCAACGGTTTTATAACATCGGGAGGTGACTTGATGCCCTCGTTACCTAGTTCGAAGCAATGTTAACCCAATATCGGGCCTACATTCGCACAGCATTCGCATCTCTCAACGGATACCCTGTGGACCTTGTGATCAAGACCATCAGCAAGACCCTCAACACCACAGACCAGCCCCAAGCCTGCAACATCCCTCTTCAGAGTAACAATTCCCTACATTGGACCTAGCAGCCACAAGACCTCATCAAGAACAAAGCCAGCAGTGACGTCACATTTTGTAGGGGCAAGACCCTCAAGAATCTACTCCGAGCCAACGGCAGAGGATCCAACACTGCAAGCCCCAAACCAAGAAGATGCATCTACCGGATTCCGTGTAGTTGTGGACAACTGTACATCGGGGAAACGCTGCGACCTATCAACACAAGAGTCAAAGAATACCAAGCCTCCGTCAACAAGCTCGACCAGGAGTCTGCCATATCAGAACATATCCTCAAGAACAAGGACCACACCATCAAATGGGAAGCCACCAAAATCCTGTCCACCAACAACAGTAACTGGCGTCAAAAGAAGCTTCAGGATGCCATAGACATAAGGCGACAAGAGCCGACAATCAACCGTGATCAAGGAATCTACTTACCAATTGCTTGGGACTCACTTATCTAAATACACACTCTTCCCATCCTGTGTATATCTTTCATAAGCCAACAGGTCCCTTTTTGTATCACCTATGTGTATCACGTATGTTTATCACCTATGCTTATCACCGCCTCATCAGCCCACTGACCTCATGTTTGTATTGCATATCCAACAAGGGGATCACTGGCCTCCCTTCCTCATGTTCGTACTGTATCACTGGCCTCCCCGTGTTTGTGTTCTATATCCACCCGTGAAGATCCGGGTTAGAATTGCTCTTCAGCAACCCATGCTTGTCGGAAGAGGCGACTAATGGGATCGGGTAGTCAGGCTCGCTGACTTGGTTGACACATGTCATCGTATCCCATTTGCGAAGATCGATGCTCATGCTGTTGATCACTGGATTGTCTGGTTCAGACTCGATTATTTACAGACCTCCGCCATATAGCTGGAATATTGCTGAGTGCGGCGTAAAACTAAACTCACTCACTGTATCCTATCACATCTATTACCATGTTGTTTTAGTGTATCACTGGCCTCATGTTTGTATTACATATAATTCATGTATTTTAACTCTCTGTGATTTGATTTCCTCAATATTATTAATCATGTTTTCTTGGTAGAACCTCATGTAGGTATTTATATATATATATATATATATATATATATATATATATATATATATATATATATATATATATATATGTATATATATATATATATATATATATATATATATATATATATATATATCCCCATGATACTCCCTACTATTCACCTGATGAAGGAGAAAGCATTCACTCCGAAACGTCGTGTTATTCACCTATAGAAGTTACCATTCATCAATCTTGCTTTTCTTAGGGAAATATGCGGACCCCCAGAGCAATGAAAGTGCGGTGAGGTAGCCTAGTGGTTAAAGCGTTCGCTCGTCACGCCGAAGATCTGGGTTCGATTCCCCACATGGGTTCAATGTGTGAAGCCCATTTCTGGTGTCCCCCGGGCGAGCCAGCCTGATAGACAACAGATAAAGCCATATTAGTTGCTACTCGGAGTTGTTTGTTCTGTAGAAGGCGATTGCGTGGGTACTCAGGACACGGGAAGTGCTCCCAGATCACAGTAAAGAGAAGAAGGCAGGTTTAACACCACAACAACAAAAACCTGTCGTGTTGAGAGAAAAAGATTTGGAAGAATTAGAGAAAGCAAGACTTTTTTCATGTGAGCTTGAAAGATTAACAAACAAAACACTTAATCTGAGCAAAGGTCCAATCTCCAAAGCAATCAAGTTACCCAAATTATTTGGAAGCCGTCACTCCAAATCACTTTCTGCTCATGAAACGAAAATATAATTTGCAACCAAATATGTTTGAATTGGATGGTTCTTATTCAAGACGTCGATGGCGTCGGGTGCTGTATATGACGGATTTGTTATAGAAGAGATGGTTAAGAGAGTACCTGTCATTATTAATGCAAGAACGGCACAAGTGTTTGAAGCTAAAAAGAAATTAGAAGATTGGTGTCATTGTGTTCATAGTGGACAATTCAGTACCCAGAAATGCATGGTCAACGGGCAAAGTTGTGATGCTTTTCCCTGATAGAAAGTGTGTTGTAAGACGAGTCGAGGCGAAAAGTCAGACAAGGGTTTCGGACACACATCAGTGTGCTTGCTTGTTGAGAGTGACACTTAAGCCGTGTTTGGGACCGTGACTCGACAACGAGCCTGGAGCTTGGAGTTAGGATAAGAACATTGACCAATATGTTTGATGTGTTCATGCATAATGTATGATACTGAGGTTGTGGCTTGGGCAAGTTAGAATATCATGTCATAATATTTAGTTGTTTAGTCAATTAAAGTTGCTGCTTAGTGTGACATAGTTTTCACGTCAGATTCGCTCTGTATATAATTTAACTGTTACATTCAGATAGGTGAAAGATTGTTTTAGGTATTTGTTTTACATGTAAAATATTCCTGTACCTTTGTTGTGGTTTGTGTGTGAGTGTGGGTATGTGGTAAGCGTATATATGTTTGACATGTGTTTAAAACATAAGAAACTGCCAGCCCCTGCTGCCAGCGGATGCGTGCACACGGCTACCTTCCCCGGGGTTGGCGACATCTATGATAAATACCTTTGTAACTAAGACTTATAGACTAATTGTGTTTTGTGGGACTTATGGGTTCTGATCAACAACGATACGTGTCCAACCAGAAATTTAAGAGTGAGTGAGTATGGTTTTACGCCGAATTGCAATATTCCAGCAATATCACGGCGGGGGACACCAGGAATGGGCTTTACACATTGTAGCCATGTGGGGAATCGAACCCGGGTTTTCAGCGTGACGAGCGGACGCTTTAACCATTAGACTACCCCACCACCCCAGAAATTTAAGATGCATATATGAAACAGACTAGGCTGGTGAAAGTGACGGTTTAACCGATTCTATATTTCCATGAATAAAATTCTCTGTAATTATTCTGGCACATACGACACGCAGCGCGTCCTTGACTCTTGTCCCTTGTGCTGCGGAGACCTCCCTCCATATATATTCATCTGACAGTTGGTACTCCCTTGAAACTCCGCCGACAACACCCAGCCGGTCCTACCTCGCCGCACGTACATGGCTGGAACTAAGCGTCAACCCTGCATTGTACGTCGGTGCCGCATCAATACAGGGCGGAATTAGCTGTTGCAGTGTCCGGGTAGTGACGCCTTCAACACCCACCTCGCACCTACGTCCGCAGCTGACAAACAACGTCATCAGGTATGTGAACTGCACGTGAATGTATTCTGACAGAGAGTGATAACCAGGAATATAGGACATGCCTTTCTCCAACAAAAACTCGATTCTATCTTAGGCTTATACACTGACACTGAAATGAGCAATGCCGTAACTCCCTGTTATGTAACTCCCTGTTATGTAAGTCGGCGTTAAGAATGGCAGTGGTTTTGCGCTAGGCGTATCTGAACTCAAGACGGGCGTCTGCTAAGGTACTAAAGCTTTTTCTACGAATAGAATAGTGTCTCATTATTGACAGAAGATCTACGATTAAAGCGAAAGTATGTAAGCTTCAATTTTGGAAGGTCTACGATTTGTGCATGTTAATTAACGTACGGAGTTTCTACTGTTAAATGGTAGAGTCCATGTGTGCACGATGACGGACGTTCAACAGGAGGTTCCCAATGTAGGAGGTGACACGCCCTCTATTTATAAACACGACCTTTCGAACTTGTTTGTAACTCATGTGAACTTACTCTGTGACGAGGGAGTCAACATGTTGTGAAACCGTTGGTAGCCTGACAGCGATCAGATAGCGTGTGTACATCAGTGCCCTCCGTCTGGAGAGGGCACACTGAACAATAGCTCGGGTATTTGTTGACCTGGATTCCCATGCTTCAGCGTGAACGATTACAGCGTTTAAGTCTGAGTTCAGAATTTTTATAGGATTCTTGGTGATATAAGGATGTTGGGTATAGTTTATGATACTCTATAAGTATTATTTTGCAATTGTTCAAGTATTTGTGTTCAGACAGTGATGTAGATAGAGAATCTCACCCAAGTGTCTTCTGATATCAATTATATCAACACGAGTTGACAAACTACAAATATTTTTACTTTTATGAGCGTGTGTTGATATCAGAAGACACGAGGGTGAGATTCTCTTTATCATAAGAAATAACTCTTCCTTAGTTTTCAATAAAAAAATGTACATCTCTGAACACGCTTCTGCCATTAGACTTGCAGTGCAGCGATGTCATAGCATTGTGATGTCATCAAGTTCATGACGTCATAGCATTCTCAGGGCATTGTACAAAATCTGCTGTCAAAACAATATACTAGGAGACATCGTTTGATCTAACACAAGCTATATCTCCATGCTATTGGGGACCGGTGTGAGCTACATATCTCCCCGTATATGTTAACCCACGAAGGGAACATAAGATAGTACGGATTTAACTCTACAGTATATGTACTCATGACATAGCACAGGTCATGGGTGTGCCATATATTTGAGAATCCCCGTGTGTTCACCGGCCATGACCTCGCCATTGACAATAATTTCTGATAAACAGATTCAGACCGACGCCACGCAGCTGGAGTTGTGCTGAGTGCAGCATTAAATAACAATGCCTTTGATAGCTATCTCATGAATCAGCTACATCTGATGACAAACTGATACCCGTATGTTTCCCGTAAGCGCAGAGTCATTTCAATATTTGGAATGTCGCTATATAAAAATGTTATTTATCACAACATTACACAGGGGGATGTGTATGCGTTGGTGGATGGAGTGGGAAGGACGGCGTTGTGTGTGTGTGTGTGTGTGTGTGTGTGTGCGTGCGTGCGTGCTTGGCACCATTGGTCATGCACAATTTGCATCACAAGTCTTCAAGTAGATTGGACACCACCTACACTTCCCATCATGTGCCAGTTTCTGTGCAATTCAGTTTTTATTGGTCTGTGGATGGATTCCAGACTGTCGTCCCTCAATAAACCAAGAAGCACACGTTCACACACTGAACTGGCTATCTGGTTCTGGTTTAATGCAATGTTGGTTAATGAAGTTGATGCAGATGTTCAAGTCCTCGTATGTCAGCAGTATCCCCTTGGTTCGTGCGTTTCAGCACAGAGGGAAGCTTCTGGCTATCTGCCCACACCGTCATGCTGGGATATAACAGAAAAACTGTGAAACGTTGTGATAAACAACACCGTCAGCCACTCAAACTCTGCAGTGGAGGAATGTGAGCATTTATAAACATAAACAGCCAACGAGGTATGTGTGACCACAGGAAAACTGTCACGAGTGAAAATGTCGATGATAGGTTTTGCCTTATCAAGGTATACCAAGTAGGTTCTTCTGTTTCGCCCCTGCTATCAGTTTTAACACATTGATTTAAAGATAAACTCTGATCTCGTAATACAGTTTTGCAAGGTGACTTTCTTGTCTCCAGTCGCTCTAGACTCCATTACAAAGAACACCTTCAGTCTGTTTGGTTCAATTTGTTATTTTTAATTGACCAATTAGAAGTAACATCTCAGTGACATCTCATCTGATGAAGCGGGGCTTCACTTGGATACATTGCTTTTGAAATATCGTCAGCCTCTACTGTAGATACATAAGGATGTATGCAAAGATATCGTAATGGTTCAAATTTAAAACAAGTATCTTTAGTGAGAAGTGCATACCAGCTGTTGTTGGGCTCAAAAAATACGTTTATGAAGAATGTTTGTAATTCCTTTCTTTAAAGAATTTTATCGAAATAATTTTCAAATTCTACGTATCTCAATAATATGAAACCTGGCACGATATTTTTGCAGTAACTTTTCATAAAGTATATGCATTCTAAATTTCAATCTTATATTCTAAAATGACATCATAAAAATATATGAAACTTTCCGGCGATTAGCTTTAACGATCCTCGAAAGTTGATTACTCCCCCGTGCTGTGATTTTTGCAGGTCAACAAGAATGACGTCTGTTTTCGATATTTTCACGTTCTCGATAATATCTTTTCAAAAATTTGCAAATAGTAGAAGGATGGATGCCCAATACTCTTGAAACCTCGGCTGATCTATATCCATCATTTATCATATTGATAATGGCCTGTTTTGTGTCATTACTCTCTTTTCCGTGTTCGGACATGGTTGTTATTGTTTATGTCTCACAGCGAAGCAGACGAAAAATCAACTTCCGGAATTGCGTACACGAAAGTGGATGACGGGAAGTGATATCAACTATAAAAGAGGGGGAAAACCTGACGCTACCAAGAGATGCGACGCGGAATAAAAACGTCTTCAAATTCATCGCTTACCACTGATCGGTAAAAATTGAAACAATTTTGGCACATGAGTGTATCTGGCAGTTCACCTCCGTCAAAGATATTAGCAGGGGAAGGGTAACTGAATTTTTTTATTTTTTTATTTTTTTCAAAAATTCCCATCACAATTTTATAAAAACCGTGAACACAACCACATGTTCGGTATCTATAAATAGATTGTAAACAATTGCGCGTGGTGCCTTTACTTATAGTTATCCGTTGGAGTTGTTCAAATTTAGTTAAATCAATAATCTGAAAACATGGGTTTCTATCATTTAATGAATTAAAAGAATGGTAAATAAAAAGCAGAAAATATTCCCCGTCTACTACTTCGTGCACTTATTTGTCTGTATATAATTAATGTAAACAAATCAATCACAGCATAACCTATTTGATCTTATTTTGAAATCTGGAAAAGGTAATTGGGCTTGTAAACAGTATGTTTCCATGGACGTATCTGGGCATACCCAGAAGACACCATCCTAAAATGAAACTGAATATAAGGAAATCCATTTTTTATTCATCCTTTCCATGTTATTTTTCTGTATGTACTTGTTGTGGAATCCTAATTTACATACAAACTCCCACAGTACTGGACTTCATGAACTGCCAGCATTTATGTACAGGTATGTCACAGCACCAGAACACACAGAAGATCCAAGATGCAGTCTGCACCTGCACACTGACCCATCTTCCAGAAATAGAAAACCTGTGATGCAAAATCTTTGAACAGAGGATCCACAGTTATCAAAACAATAACTAGCATTGAAATAGAATGTTACACAAAATACAAATAAATTATTTTTTCATCTGATGTTTTACTACTAAGTACTAGTGTAAATAAGGTGCAAAGAATATATCCTATGTTCAAAGCTTTTTGTCAATACAATTACATTAATTGACATTAATGATAATCTTTGTTTTATTAGATCTGAGACCATATCCCTAGAGGACATTACACTGATTTTGATCTATTTCCTTTTCTGAGATTCTTACTAGTGTCATAAAAATGATAGTAAAGTTAATTCAAAATTTGGTAAAAGTCATAACAATGGTTTAGGAAAACACACATGAAAATGTCCTGAAGCCTTCACCCCCTACAAACCAGTGTGCAATTTAATATGAAGATTATTTTCCAAATAACCATCAACAAACCTTAAAATAATTTTTCCAAAACCAACATCTTAATAAACACTAGCTTTGGCTCAGTCTTCAAATATTAGTAACCTCCTAAAAAACCCTGATGATTTATAAGAAGAATTACATCAAATCTGGGTTAAATATATGTTTCAATATTTATTCCTTTACATGAAAAGTCAACTGAGATTTTTGTAAGTTATTCTGTTCCTGGACTGGATAATGCCTGACCAGGGTGTGACCAAAACGTAGCCTTTGCTTTTTCAAATTCTCTGGATGTTGAAATAACTTTAATGAGTTATAATACTAGCAATCACTTCCAGAATCATCTTCTTAGTAAATATATTATTTAAAAAAACATCTAAAAACAGGAGCCAGGAAACTTAGTTAATACGAAGTGATTGTCCTGCCATCATATGTATAGTGTTTGTTGCCTAGTTCTACCTAAAAAACATATAAATCTGATATGTCAATCAATTAAATAATCATTTATAATTCATTAGATTATTATTTATTATCAGTTTGCAATTCCGACTTCAAAAACATGTCATTGTGAATTGATATTAAACGGTCAGATGGCGCCCTTCGGCAACACATGCAAGTCAAAGTCAAAGGCAAGTCAAAGAGTTCACCTCGACAAACACTTCCTGTTGTAGGACGTCCTTCGTCATGTAACTTGTGACATGTGACATCACTGAATCGGGTTGCCGGAATGTTGCTTAAATAGGGGGTTGCTGACTAGTGGAAAGTTGAAGTCGCCCCTCTTGTGGATAGTTTATTGTCACTCGTTATGCATAGATGAGGCAGTATCGTTGGTCATCTTCAGGGGGGTAATCTGTGGAAGCCTGCACAGGAGGGTAATTCTATGGAAGCCTCTTCAGGAGGGTAATTCTGTGGGAGCCTCTTCAGGAGGGTAATTCTGTGGGAGCCTCTTCAGGAGGGTAATTCTGTGGGAGCCTCTTCAGGAGGGTAATTCTGTGGAAGCCTCTTCAGGGGGTAATTCTGTGGGAGCCTCTTCAGGAGGGTAATTCTGTGGAAGCCTCTTCAGGAGGGTATTTCTGTGGAAGCCTCTTCAGGAGGGTAATTCTGTGGGAGCCTCTTCTGGAGGGTAATTCTGTGGAACCCTCTTCAGAGGGTAATTCTGTGGAAGCCTCTTCTAGAGGGTAATTCTGTGGAAGCCTGTACAGGAGGGTAATTCTGTGGAACCCTCTTCAGGAGGTAATTCTGTGGGAGCCTCTTCAGGAGGGTAATTCTGTGGAACCCTCTTCAGGAGGGTAATTCTGTGGAAACCTCTTCAGGAGGGTAATTCTGTGGAAGCCTCTTCAGGAGGGTAATTCTGTGGGAGCCTCTTCAGGAGGGTAATTCTGTGGAAGCCTCTTCAGGAGGGTAATTCCATGTCACCATGTTTAGTGACAAATGACCAACGGATCAAGGAAAGAATATTCATTAATGCGACATTACCCCCAGGTTCCCATATTCACTACATATAGCGAGTGTACACTTTCGCGACCTGAGCATGCAGTAGCGGATGTTCCTCAGAACCATCAGTACAGGTGTACCTAGGTCTGTATATATATGTATCTTCCACTTCTTGCTGTTTCAGGTTTCAACTTGTGTTGGTGTAAACATGAGAGCCTTCTGTGCCATTCTAAGCACTTGCCTCTGCCTCTGTCTCGCTGAGGATGAGATAATTGATCTCACTCACACATTCGGGAAGAGGACGATCTACTGGCCGGGAAATCCACCGTTTAACTTTTCCAACGTCTTCCGGTCACCGTTTGGTGTGGCTTCGTAAGTAGCGTGTGAGTGGAAGAGTCAACTGGGTGTCGGTATGTTGTGACAGGAAACTAATGCAGGCCAAGACTGGTATCACAGTGATACCCATGTTTTCCATTACAATGGGGGAAATAGTTAATCTGAAGTCTTGTAAGCATCCTATTTTCATTTCCATTCCTGGAATTGCGTATCAAAACTTACAAATATACGATTTGTTGATAACAACATGAAATTCATGTTTCTTCATTTTATTCCTGAGTCTTAAGTTTCCAACATTAGATTGACTGTACCAAATAGAAAGAACTTAATTACGTATATGGCAATCATGTTCCCTACATTAAGTATATGGCTATCATGTTCCTACATTAAGTATATAGCTAAGTATCATGTTCCCTACATTAAGTATATGGCTATCATGTTCCCTAAATTAAGTATATGGCTATCATGTTCCCTACATTAAGTATATGGCTATCTATCATGTTCCCTAAATTAAGTATATGGCTATCATGTTCCCTACATTAAGTATATGGCTATCATGTTCCCTACATTAAGTATATGGCTATCATGTTCCCTACATTAAGTATATGGCTATCATGTTCCCATAATTAAGTATATGGCTATCATCATGTTCCCTACATTAAGTATATGGCTATCATGTTCCCTACATTAAGTATATGGCTATCATGTTCCCTACATTAAGTATATGGCTATCATGTTCCCTACATTAAGTATATGGCTATCATGTTCCCTACATTAAGTATATGGCTATCATGTTCCCTACATTAAGTATATGGCTATCATGTTCCCTACATTAAGTATATGGCTATCATGTTCCCTTAATTAAGTATATGGCTAAGTATCATGTTCCCTACATTAAGTATATGGCTATCATGTTCCCTACATTAAGTATGTGGCTATCATGTTCCCTACATTAAGTATATGGCTATGGCTATCATGTGGCTATCATCCCCTACATTAAGTATATGGCTATCATGTTCCCTATTAAGTATTGGCTATCATGTTCCCTTCATTAAGTATATGGCTATCATGTTCCTTAAGCATTATATGGCTATCATGTTCCCTTACATTAAGTATATGGCTATCATGTTCCCTACATTAGTATATGGCTGGCTATCATGTTCCCTAAATTAAGTATGTGGCTATCATGTTCCCTACATTAAGTATGTGGCTATCATGTTCCCTACATTAAGTATATGGCTATCATGTTCCCTACATTAAGTATATGGCTATCATGTTCCCCTTACATTAAGTATGTGGCTATCATGTTCCTACATTAAGTATGCTGGCATCATGTTCCCTACATTAAGTATATGGCTATCATGTTCCCTAAATTAAGTATATGGCTATCATGTTCCCTACATTAAGTATATGGCTATCATGTTCCCTACATTAAGTATATGGCTATCATGTTCCCTAATTAAGTATATGGCTATCATGTTCCCTACATTAAGTATATGGCTATCATGTTCCCTATATTAAGAATATGGCTATCATGTTCCCTACATTTACACATCGACTACATAATGGCATATATACTGAACATCATTGAAAACGCACCACCTGTAAATTTTGAAATATGGAGTGAAAATGAACGTTGGAAATGTTGTTAATAACACAAAAGACAATAAATAATGCTGTACAGTTAAAGAACGGATTGCCCGAACACAACATGGAACACATCACATGACAACATCAAATTCATGCACAACACACACGAAAAGCACAAATTGCATGCGTAAAACATGCTGATTAGGGGTATAAATGACCGTCGGCAAATAACCGTTCTCATTTTAGCTGTACCTTCGCAAGTAAAGTTAATTTTGCAATGCCAAAATTGTCACCAGGGGAACGAGAACGGGCGTTGGGCATGTTGCAGGTTGGCACATCAAGCAGGATTATTGCCAGAGGATTTGGTTGCCATCATTCCACCATCATAAGACTTGCCAACTGGTACCAACAAACAGGAACCACCAGGGACCGCCAACGTCGCCAAGATCGAGGCCAGGCCATATTCGTGTTACCACCTAATGGTTAAAGCGTTGGCACGTGTTACCACGCCGCGCCAAGATCGAGACATTGTTCGGTGCCATATTCGGGATCGTACGTTGCCGGCTGTCCAAGGCCGACGTGGTTTGATCAGTGCTTTCACCGTCCTACGCCGTCTCCGTCCGGCAGGATTACGGTGTCGACGCCCTTATGTTGGACCCATCCTGACTGATAGACATCGCCGTGAACGCCAACGATGGGCTGAACAGCATCGTTTGTGGTTGTTACGACGTTGGCATGGTGTTGTGTTCTCCGACGAGTCACGTTTTCACTTGCAAAATGCTGACGGGCGTCTACGGGTATGGCGTCGACGGGGAGAACGTTACCATCAGGACTGTGTTGTGCAAACAGATCGGTGGGATGGAGGAAGCATTATGGTGTGGGGAAGGATCAGTTATCATCACAAAAACCGCTCTGGTAGTTTGTCGTGGCAGAGTATATGCCCTTTACTACCGTGACACCATTCTTCGAAACAACGTCGTTCCCTTCTTTAACCAACATCAAGATCTGCACACATTCCAGCAGGACAATGCTCGAGCGCACATCGCACGTATTGCAACACAGTTTCTGGCAAACAACAACATTCCTCTACTTCCATGGCCTGCATTGTCACCAGATTTGTCTCCCATTGAACACTTGTGGGATTACATCGGCCAACGCCTCTCACGTCGCCCACAGATCAACAACCTTGGGAAACTTGAGTATGCCTTGCATCAAGACATTATTCAGAGACTCATCGGTTCAATGAGGAGACATTGCACAGCTTGTGTTGCTGCTAACGGTGGTCATACACGTTACTGACTTCCCAATTTGACTCCATCTTTCTTTCATGGTCAGCTGAATTAAACCTTCACTGTTTTGCTGGATTGGTTCTTGTTTCTTTTGTCTTTACCAATCATTGGACTACAAAAGTATGTAAAATTTACACCGATTGCTCATTTATGCTCTTGGAAATCCAAGCTAATACAGGTGGTGCGTGTTCAGTGATGTTCAGTATATATTGGACAATGTAAATTGCAGCACAAACTTGAATCTTACACAAATACAATGTGCAAAACCAATATCTAATTGCACTGAATAAACATGAAGCTTAATATTTCAAATATCTTTCATACCAACTTTAAGCCAAAAGAATACTTGTGAACAAAATTTGATGTCAAAGTCAAAAACAGCCATAAAACCTAAATTATGAAAAATTACAAATTCCTCCTTATGAATTGTCAAATAAGGGAATACATTTGGCTTACCATTACTTTAGACCTCACAAGATTCTAGCCTAAGTCCAACATGTGCATGCAGCACAAACCACATGGTGATTCTGAACACCCCAATTTGAAGTTATCTCCCTTTTTATTAAGGTTGACATAAAATTAGCACCTCTTCAAAAATTCAAAACTATGAAATAGAAATAGACCTTTTAACCATTACTACTAATTAATAGTAGTGGAAATATTATTAACTAAATTGTTTACTTCCTTAACCAATTGAGCCATTTTAACTGAAATAAATGGAAATCAACATTTTGACCATTACACGACACTAAAGCCTTTTCTATAATCTGCAATAGTAGTCCATAGTAGTGCCCACCTGTGGCACTCGTCACATACCAATGTTAAGGCATAAAATTTGGTAATTGCCAAACCAGTCAGGTAGTATTTTTCGAAATGTTCAGCGTTAAGTATAGCGTGATCAGATTTTACCAAATGGAAGATTTCACCATTGTATTAAATGGTCCATGGTCTCCAACTGAAGGCGAACGATTGCACATTGAATAAACCAAACTTTTAAAAATTTGTAACACTTGGATTACGAGGGGCGTTCAAAAAGTGGTCATCCTCACCTAGAAAATGATTCAAATAGAGCTATTTTTATGTTTTATTTTTCTACATGATATCTTGGACCATGAAGCAAATTGGTTTTGCTATGTTCCAGCTTCACGATCGTATTTTGTTTGACTATTTATCTTGGTAAACCCCCTAATGTGGAATATTGGTTACTGCAGCGTTGAACAGCATTAGCTCTCTCACTAACCCTACCCTAATCCAATTTAGAACTAAGATCTGTTTTAAAAAAAGAGGTTACTTATTAAATGTCTTGATGTCATTTGTATTTGTGTTATACAGAGTAGAAGCCAATGCCTTCGAGACAGCCGAGCACAGTGGGACTCACATGGATGCTCCAAGACACTTTTGTCCAGAAGGAAAACGTATGCATGAGCTGGTCATGGATCGGTTGTCGGGGCCTGGGGTCGTCATCGACGTCAGGAAACAGTCAGAAGACAATCTCGATTTCCAAGTCACCGAGCAGACTTTCAGAGATTGGGAGGAAGAACATGGCACCATTCCAGACGGAGCTATCGTACTTTTCAACTTTGGCTGGGACAAGTTTTGGCCCAATAGAAAGCAGGTCTTCAATACCGAAGATGTCATGAATCCATCCACGTTCCACTATCCTGGTTTAAGTCCCAATGGGACAAAGTGGCTGACGAGCAACCGCAAAGTACACGCGGTTGGGGGTGACACTCCATCTCCTGACTATGGTCAATCCAGTTTATTCGAGACACACGTGATCTTGTTGTGTGATAATGGGATCGTAATCCTGGAGAATGTAGCAAATCTAAACAGTATGCCAGCTACTGGAACAAAGGTATACATTGGCGCCCTGAAGCTGGAGAATGGCAGTGGAACACCAGTCAGACTATTCGCTGTTCCTATGTCAAGTGCCTCTGTGACCAGGTGTTCTATGTTGCTGTTGGCATTGACTTTACTGTTTGCTGAAAGACTTTACTGAATGCGTCGTCCCACACTCACAGCAATATCTGATGTTCCATGTATCATGCCATTGTGATTGTTTGTACTATTCGGCTATTTGTTGTGCCTGCAGGAGCATCTTAATTTAAGGCTCCAATCGTTCGAAATTCATACCGCGCTGCTCAGTGTTCCATATCAAGTGTGTGTGTTCTATTCAGCATTTAGTGGTCTATTGATGGTATCAACACCTTCACAGAGGCTTCATGTTGTTTGATACATACAGCACTGCTCGGTGTTCCATATCAAGTGTATTTGTTCTATTTATCTAGAATCAACTATCTCTGGTATTAATAGCCTTATATAATGCACTGTATCTCCACGGGTCTTTTAGAAAAGGGTCCCTCTGCATATTGATATAATGTAGACATTAACACTTTCCAAATAGAGTCAAATAAACTATAACACACACTCACATCTGCGTTCTCATGAATAAAAGACAACCCGCAAGCATCACCTTCAGGTGTTGCTCTGTAACTGACGTGTCGTAGAATTGGCGCTATTAATTTAGTATGTAATTAAATTAACGAAACCGAATCAGAAATTAGTTATTCAATCATTAATCTTGACCCAGAAATGCAAAACCCCGAGAAATAAAATATATTAACACGAATATTTTACGTTCCATTCCACTTCTCCTATCAGATGTTAGTTCACAGCAACAACAGAAAGAGGCTGAGTAAGGGAAATCCATTTTTTAACGGAGAATACCTGCCTCGTCAAACCCAGGTGGCAGAGATGGTGAAATAAAATGTGATGTAAGTTGACTTCGGACAGATACCATGTGTATTTTTCTTGCACACCAACGTGTAACCTCGCCTAGTGGTTTTACGCTGCTTTTAGTAATAGTACAGCAATATCCCGGCAGGGGGACACCAGAAAAAGGTCTTCTCACATTGTACCCTTATACCAATAATGGTGGAAGAGTAAGGTGTGCTTATAATCTGGTTTGAGTCATACAAGTTGCATGCTGACTCCGAGAACGGGTGTCTAGGTACGTTCTTACACATGTGTCCAAGAGCGTTCGTTGTGGTACTCTCGGATGGTAGTTCAAGAGGCGGAAGACAAATGTCAGCAGTGTAGTTGAAGACAGCAGCAGCCATGTTTATTATGGTTGGGGAATAATGGTAGAAATGGTACATAAGATGGAAATCACGTGACAGAACGCACATGGGGACCGAGTTGCCAATGTTCCCGATGTGGAGACCCGCTCTGTCACTTACACACATTCAGAAGTCGGACGGCGATTCTTCATCGTCGACGTAGTCGTTGGTGATGCGACGGCCTTGTTCGACGCCCCGACTAGTCCGTCCGCTTCGGTGGATGATCTGGGCCCGTTCCTCGCCTCGTCTCTGACTGGTCTCCCTGCTTGGTCTCCCTGACTGACCATGTGAGTCCGGTTTTATGCATAGGGACATTACGCCACGTTGTGCAAGATCACTGGCCTGTGCACATGTACATACGTAAGATCCGCCGACGTGGGGAGATGTTAATTGACATTTACTGATGGCATTGAGAATTAAGGGTCCTGTCCCGAGGGGAGTTTATGATAAAAGGGCTACACCGAATGATTGCTGAATACATTAAACAGACAAAATGGATAGAATTTCGGTGCACTTTGGATATATATGGAAACAATTATGTTGTTTGAATATATGAAGTTTTACAGAAACTTATTGAAATGGTTTAATCTATGACACATGCATTAGGTACGTCGGTCCTCATCGACGCGTGTTCTAGTCTGTCTTGGGGGTGAGGTGAGGTGAAATGGGGTTTAACGTCGTAGTTACGAATATTTCGCTCATATGCATGCGTGTGTATGTGTGGCAACCCAGACTGAAGCTGGTTTTATAGTGCTAGCCCACTGAGATACCATGTCCTAGTTAAGCATGAATACCCCACTCAGACACATTATACTGACTCCGAGCCGACCAGTCCTTCTTGTACCCATTAATGCCGAGCGCCAGGCAGAAACCAAAATGTACCATTTTTAAATGTGGTTTGGTATGACGCGGCCGGGGATCGAACCTGTGATCTTCCGCTCTCCGGGCGGACGCTCTAACCACTACACCACGGAGGCGGTCTAGTCTGTCTTGGAGAACGTTCTTACACATGCACTAGGTATGTAGGTTTTTATCTACGTGGGTTTCAGTCAGTCGTGGAGACCGGTAATCTAGTTTAAATGCTTATATCATTAAATGATATCTTTTCTGCCTTGTCACAACTTTCTGAAATCATTTCAAATTGTCACACAATCAGCGTTAAAATGAGAAAGAAACTCAACAAATACATTTAACAAACATCGGAACATTTAAATGAAATTACGCCACGTACAGGTCATCTGTAAAGGTTGGGACAACAAAGTCGGTCATCGTGAGGTAAACCAGAGGATACATTAAACAGATCCGAAATTATTACCACCTACTTGAGAAAATCGAATCACCAAAATCAATAATTGGACAGTAGACGATGTGTTCCCCAAAGTGGATTGTAATATCATATGTGCAAATCCTCTTTTTACATCGATAAATATTCATCTACGTAGAATTAAGTGCCATCAACGTAGGTGAGAATGTGGAAAGTTACACCAAATATACAAAATACTCAGTATTGTTCCATAGATCTCCAATATTACAGTTTCTGTCAGCCGAATGCGTGTCAGACTGAATACAGACAGCAGCATTGCAGGCTATCGTGACGTAACACGGACGCATCCATCAAAAGCGTCGCACTCGGTTGCTCTTATTGTTCAGCGGGAGCAGTTACAAGGTCATACACACTGTTATGTAACAACACAACATATCCCTACTTGCAGCGATATACTGGAAGGAGTTAAAGACAGTCCAATCACAGGAGGGCGATTACTGTTAAAGTCAGGCATCTTCACTGGTCATTACACTACACCACAGGTCAGTGGTAAGAAACATTTACACTTTATTTGATACATTTTGTCTTATACAACTATGTGATGAATAGGTGTTTAGTATATTTTGTAGGTTGTATATAATGTGTTTTGCAACGCATGCGTGCATTAATGGAAGTTATTCCCTACTATTTCAATATGGTTCTCCGAATATACATTGTTCCTGGAATACAATATATATCACAAATGTAACACATGTTATATTTGGGTTTACACTTTCTCAGTGAAGTGCAGATTCTAGTACTTTTATTAGGTTGAGACCAATCCGGGATTGCCAACCAGCATCCTCTAAGTCAGGCCCCTAATCACCAGCACACAAAGTCAGCAGTCTAACCCACTCAGCCATCGCACAAGATATTCTGAACGATATAGAAACAGGTGTTCGTGAAAAGGGTAAGTATGTTCTGCACTACCGGTAGCATCGGCCAGTCACAAAATTTGCCCAAATAAGTATCATTTACAGCCCGACGCCGCTCAACAGTACTCCTCTCATGCGACAGCGACCTGTAAACATAGCAGACAATCAAGTGATCGGTACATCAGACAATCCTGTGATTAAGTTGTGTAGGTCAGGGATTCTGCAGCTTACAAGTAAAGATAAACGTTTTAGAAACAGATTTGGAATAACGAACCCGCTGCTAACGTCAGGCTGCCCAGAAAGGCACGGCTAATTTTAACAAAGGGTTCCCCGGCGAGCTAGCAGACCTGAGAACAGATACAGTTGTTGGGTCAGGGAAGGAGATCTTGCCAGCACCAGCTACGAGGACCACATACGGACCATTCCCATTCAGCTGCTCTAATATCTGACGGGTTTTAACGTTGGCAAAACCCAGGAGAAGCACGTCAAGGTAAATATGTTGAAAATATACGTGTGTCTTTCTTTTCCAGACATTTATCATGTGCATTGATGTGTTTTACTCAATAACAAGGAAATAGATGGGGCTTATAGTCATGGATACTGGAGAGTATGGGTGCTTAAACACTTTGAAAAGACAAATCCGAGGTTTTGTGACATTCTGGGTATTAGGCATGAGATGCTGTGTGTGTGCGAATCTCATTGAATGTGCACGTGCTTAGAAATGGACTTTCGCCCCGAGACCCATCTTATCTGATTTTTTAGATGACGATGACTGAACATTTCAAACAGTCACAGCTGATACTGTTGCTGAAAGGAGATTCATATGTTTCGTTATTGAGTTGTATAAGATGTAAACATGTTAAATGATTATTTACGTCTTAAGATGGAAAACTTTGAACATGACGGCATTATTCCATATCTGTAATTATGTGCAATCTGTATATAGTGTCTCGACATAGCTAAACAACATTCAGTCTCTATGTACACCCATCGCGACTCTCCGCAGTACCGTGTGTACATATAAGCAGCATTCTGTGTATGCATTAACTTTCAGTCTGGAAGAAGGGATAAGACATACAGAAATAAGCAACGTCTTTACTACAATTAGGAGCGACGTCTCGCTGTAGACTCTGGCACCGTTCCGTTAGTTCGAAGAACGACTTGTTTCTCTGCTCCCATGACATCTTCTCGTTCAATACAAAACATCCAAATGCACTAGTATGACGTTCTATATTTATTATATACCCTCTTATCTTGCATTAATCTGTTACTTAATAAAACAAATCATAGCGTAGCAATGTAGACCCGGCAGGAGTTCAATACGGAATCTGGGGTACAATACGGAATTTGATGACGTCATGGGTATTGCACCCCTGTATACTATCCTAAGTTTACATGGGTATATACTAGAGACATATACAAAGGTGTAAGGAGTATGCAATGTCTGTAGCCCTGTATGACCAACTGAACGGATGTCAGTGTCTATATCTTGTGTAGTAAAGTGGGTTCTGTTGAACGGATGTCAGTGTCTATATCTCGTGCAGTAAAGTGGGTTCTGTTGAACGGATGGCAGTGTCTATATCTTGTGTAGTAAAGTGGGTTCTGTTGAACGAATGGCAATGTCTATATCTTGTGCAGTAAAGTGGGTTCTGTTGAACGGATGTCAGTGTCTATATCTTGTGCAGTAAAGTGGGTTCTGTTGAACGGATGTCAGTGTCTATATCTTGTGCAGTAAAGTGGGTTCTGTTGAACGGATGGTAATATCTATATCTTGTGTAGTAAAGTGGGTTCTGTTGAACGAATGGCAGTGTCTATATCTTGTGCAGTAAAGTGGGTTCTGTTGAACGGATGTCAATATCTATATCTTGTGTAGTAAAGTGGGTTCTGTTGAACGGATGTCAGTGTCTATATCTTGTGCAGTAAAGTGGGTTCTGTTGAACGAATGGCAGTGTCTATATCTTGTGCAGTAAAGTGGGTTCTGTTGAACGGATGTCAATATCTATATCTTGTGTAGTAAAGTTGGTTCTGTTGAACGAATGGCAGTCACTATAACTTGTGCAGTAAAGTGGGTTCTGTTGAACGGATGCCAGGGTGTATGTGTAGTAAAGTTGGTTCTGTTGAACGGATGTCAGGGTCTATGTATACTGTTTGCTGTGAGGTCAACTCAACAACTTCTGGATGTAATTTGGCGATGTATAACGAAGTCATAATGTATAAATTATTGTGCCTATGTTTATATGCTGTACATGAGAGACAGTGTTAAGAGAATCCCAGCCATGCTGCTTGAAAGATGTTACAGCTTAATGCTGTTGACTTCAGTTTGGATTTGATTGCATATTGTGTTTGGAAATGTTATAACATATGATAACTAAACGATTCAACACAATACTCCTTAATTGTTATCTGTTGAGAAAAGTTAGACCGTTTACCTTTTGCACACAATAAATATATTGGAAGTAAGGCAACTTCAGATTGTATCTTCTGAAGCCTTTTGAAGGCTTTGCCTGGGTGCTCAACAGTAAACGGGCACTTGTATTAACCGTTGGTCGCACAGTGGAACTGGTTGTCATTCCCACAGCTAAAGTAATTTACAGAGATTACTGGTCAGTTAACCGGAAGTAGTTTACTTCAAAGTTGATGCTTCATCTTCAAGGAATTTGACAGGTTGTTTATCAGAGAGGGCATATGGCCGACTGGTCTTGAGGGATACATGCTCAAGCCAGAAACGAGGGAAGACAAATGGCCGCTTGGTCTGGAGTGATGGTCCAGCTAGAGATGAGGGAGGGCTTATAGCCGACTGGTCTGGAGTGGTACATGGTCCAGCTGGAGAAGATTTGAATCGATTCCTGAGATGTAAGGTACACAAGTACCGGTTTTCATTGGCTGTAATTACCGTCGGCCTGTGTGTTCTTGGCCTGTCTGTCGTCCGTTCGGTTTCCCTGTAACGTTGCAATGTGGTTTCATTATTTCATTATTATTATCAGCTTGAGAGTCTCCACTGATATCATTTAAATTCCCTGATTTGGGTTTCACAAACAACACCAGATTGAATCACATTTTCTGAAGGAAAAGTCACCACCACCCAAAAATACAAAACCGCCTTTGGCCATGTATCACCCTCTGCATACAGCATTGTTGTGTTTGGACGATGTGTTTTGCATAGGTTTAGATTCAACTTGTATTCGTAGTTTCAGCAAATTGAGTTGTATATGTGCCAAAGATTCTATGGCCGTCTGTTTAGCTGCCGTCAGTGCAGAAATACGTGAAAACATCCAAAACTCTCGTGTTCCTCATCACACGAAACAACACAGGTGAAGCCATATCCTGATTTATCCCCCATACCAATGTCCAGCTTGTCTCTTTAAATCTCTTCAGCGAACATTCCGCGTACCATCTCTGATAACACCCTCCCCTATCATTTGATATCGGCGGATCTGACGTTTGTCAGACGTTAGCCAACTGTCATTGTAGAATTCACAGACTATCAGAATTAATGTTCCGGAGCAGTCACTGGGTACACTTCTAAACACCCAACTCAATGTTTACCCGTTCATGCTGTTTATCAAAGGGTGTATATATAACTGTATATCCTTCTGTCGTTGCAGGCACTCCTTGTTATAAACATGAACGCCCTCTGTATACTCGTCAGCACGTGTCTATCCCTCAGTTTGGGACAGGATGAAATCGTGGACCTCACTCATACATTCGGGAAGAAGACGATCTACTGGCCGGGAAATCCACCGTTTAACTTTTCCAACGTCTTCCGACTACCAGGAACCCCCGGATATATGTAAGTAGTGAGTGAGTGAGTTTAACACCACAATCGTTAGATCAGGACATGTCGTTTCAAAATGTGTCTTGCTGCCTCGTTGAAAAGTACAATTGAGGGGGTTTCTAAAGAAAGGGTTTTGTGGAATTTATTGTTCAGCCAGTAACTGTACTTGTATGAATCAATTTTGTGTGTAAATAGTGCCTTCATTGATATAATATGCTCACACGGACCTGTACTCATATTCAGATGCAAGAAACTCCTTATTTAACTCCCTTTCCTCTAAGATTAATAACTTCCTCAGCCATACTACCACAGAAAAATTTAACCTCCTTTTTAGAAATAATGATCCAAATAGTATAGAAATTATTTGCTACCACATGTAAACTTTAAACAAATATAGATATCCTGATTGTCCTAGGCCATTATTATACACATTTGTATTATCATATGTGTCTGTATCTTACCATAGTCTCCTCATATATTATTTCCATGTCATTATACCACATGATTTCTAAAACAAATGTTATAATGTACATCATTTATGTGTGATATGTATCTATATTCCTTGTACCTGCTGTGTTTATATTTGTAGTTTATAGAATATTGCCACTGTTTCTTCATGGAATGCTATGCAATACATATCTTATCTCCTGTTTTACAGTTACTATAGTTTTACTTCAAGCCGTGTCAGTTGCCTTTATTATAGCTATACTTCAAACGATATCATTCTACAGCTATACATCAAATGGCACTATTACGAAGTTGCGTTAGCTATAATTAAAATAGTATTATTTCACAACCAACTTTTTCTAAACTTTAAAAGTTTTTTCCCGTGATGATCCGGGCTGTGATTTTCAGCAAACTATGCCGATTTGTGGGACCTTGTTGTCAGGGTCGCTGAATAGGTTGATGCATGTCATCGTATGCCAGTTGCGTAGACAGATGCTCATGATGTCAGTCACTGGAACGTCTGGTCATCACATTATTTGACAGTCTTCAGTGCGGTCTTAACAAACAAACAAAAAGCAAAGAAAAAAACGTTTCTCACATTTACTGCAGCGATACTTCAAACAGTACTCTATATTTGGTATTCAACCTCAGGTTTGCCTAGTCAAGATGCGACCATCTGGAAGCTACCGCATACAAATAGTGCGGCATAGAAACTGAACAAACGGCATGATATAGATTAGAATAGCGGAAAGGAAAAGAAACACATTTGTGGCTCTAATGATGATTTTGGTGTTATACAGAGCGGAAGCCAATGCCTTCGAGACAGCCGAGCACAGTGGGACTCACATGGATGCTCCAAGACACTTTTGTCCAGAAGGAAAACGTATGCATGAGCTGGTCATGGATCGGTTGTCGGGGCCTGGGGTCGTCATCGACGTCAGGAAACAGTCAGAAGCCAATTCTGATTTCCAAGTCACCGAGCAGACTTTCAGAGATTGGGAGGAAGAACATGGCACCATTCCAGACGGAGCTATCGTACTTTTCAACTTTGGCTGGGACAAGTTTTGGCCCAATAGAAAGCAGGTCTTCAATACCGATGATGTCATGAATCCATCCACGTTCCACTATCCTGGGCTGAGTCCTGAGGGGGCAAAATGGCTGACGAGCAACCGCAAAGTACACGCGGTTGGGGGTGATACTCCATCTACCGACTATGGTCAATCCAGTTTATTCGAGACACACGTGATCTTGTTGTGTGATAATGAGATCGTTATCCTGGAGAATGTAGCAAATCTAAACAGTATGGCAGCTACTGGAACAAAGGTATACATTGGCGCCCTGAAGCTGGAGAATGGCAGTGGAACACCAGTCAGACTATTCGCTGTTCCTATGTCAAGTGCCTCTGTGACCAGGTGTTCTATGTTGCTGTTGGCATTGACTCTCATCTTGAAAGCATTGTTTTAGTCAGAACAGCAATTCGCCATACATATACCTGACATCGTTCACCCTTCCATGGAAGCTAGGTTTAGTAGTTACAATCAGTGGCCATTTGCATTTGATTACTGACTGTAGAAACTCTATACTCAAAGTGTTTGCTTTGTCTAGTATCTAGCGTTAACATATAGCTCAATCGTCTTTGGATTCATGGCAACAGTTAACTTTTGTAAAGCGTAGAATGAACAACGTTCCTTAAAACGCCATTACGGTTAACATGTATACAAATAAACCATCCGAAAATTGACATGACTTTGTTCAGAACATTGAAACAAAAAGAAACACTCATGGCGCAGAATGTGGCTCTTTCGGTATCATTACTCAACTTTGATGTACAAAATATATCATTACAGGAGATGACTACCATATGCTTCAAGACATGTCAGGTAGACGATTAAAGGTGATATGTCACGGGGCATGATTAACATAGGCTTCAAGATATGTCAGGTAGACAATTAAAGGTGATATGTCACGGGGGACAATTAACATGGGCTTTAAGATATGTCAGGTAGACGATTAAAGGCGATATGTCACGTGGTATGATTAACATAGGGCTTTAAGACATGTCAGGTAGACAATTAAAGGCGATATGTCACGTGGTATGATTAACATGGGCTTTAAGATATGTCAGGTAGATGATTAAAGGTGATACCATAGGCTTCAGGAAAGTTCAGGGAGACGATTAAAGGTGATATGTCACGTGGCACGATTAACATAGGCTGCAAGACATGTCAGGTAGACGATCAAGGTAACAGTTCACGGGGGATGATTAACATCCAACATTAACAATGGTTACATTGGCCATTACATGCATGGCCCCATGTTCGACATGCTAACATTGACAAACGTTTTGTTTTCATCGTGATACATAATTAGGAGTTAACATACTGTGTTGGAAAATCAGAAGTTTTTAATGTAAATTTAGAGCTATTATATTTTCGTTATATACCTCTGATTTTCCAACACAGTATGTTTATCTCCATTCTACCATAACCCCGTTATTAAGATTTTAAATAAAATACATACTGTGTTGGAAAATCAGAGGTATGTACAAACGTGATTATATACCTCTGAATGACTTTGACTGACCAATCACAATCCAGTATTTACTGAAGTCATGGAAGAATCCCTTCTAGATTCCGTTAAAGCCATATTAACACTGAACGACTGAACGCAAGTTTTGGAATACCATAAAGCTTTATTAACCGTTAACCTGAAGATACTTCAGTTACACGGAGAGTTTGTCAATATATAATATCCCGAAACCATTGCATCAGATGAGCGAGTTAGTGTTAAGTCAAGGACAGTCAAGGCTAACTCACACGTCTCATGTGTCTTCACCATTGCTGAGTTGAACCAGGTTCCTCTTTCCAGATGTGCAATACAATACTACATAGACACATTACTGCTCAGATCAAGTGTATTACAAATCATTACACGATATATATTCATACAAAGAGAGCATAGTCCATCATGAAATAAAATGCAAGAGAGTGTGTATGATTTTACGCCGCTTTTGTGCAATATTAAATTCAATACCCAACAGTAACAGTAACCATGACAATGTGATGTTACAGGACAAAATCGGTTTTCTTTGAACTGCATCTGTTTATCGTCTAAGATTTAAAATGACTGGTTTGTGGCGTGGTTTTTGGTTTTCTTACTATCAATATTTAAGAGGAACACTGAAACAATGGTAAAATAATTAATTAAAATTCCGTCGACGAAGTGGACGTACTCTGATACAAATGACAGCATTTTGAAAGAAAGAGAAAATATAAAGTGTCGTGTTCCTACCTTTGAGTATACTCGTACACATATAGAGCTGCGTATTTGAAAAGCTAAGCTTATAAATGAGAAGTGAGATGGATTAACGCCGGCGTGAACGGTAGGTGGATAAAGTGTTGGAAGACCAATGATCATGCCGAGTGAGTGAGTGAATTTAGTTGTACGCCGCTTTCAGCAATGTTCCTGTGTCTTCGCGCATTGTACCCGGGGAGAGGGGTGGGTGGGTGGGGGATTGGGTAAACGTCGCGCCGAGCGAACCACTAGGCTACCCCACCGCCCCGATGAAGGGGCAAGCAAAAATTCCAGCAATATCACGGCATAGTTAATAGCATCACCTAAAGAACAGAGCAACCAACTGGTATTATGCCTGTTTGATAGTGATCGATAACGCCGGAGTGGTACAGTGCCGTATAGTAGAGATTTCCTATGATTATGGACCCGTGAAGGTCCGGGTTAGAATGTGCCTTCACTTAAACAAGCTTGTCTACCCGTGAAGGTCCGGGTTAGAATGTGCCTTCACTAACCCATGCTTGTCGTGAGAGGCGACTAACTTGGGTGGTCAGGATCGCTGACTTGGTTGACACATGTCATCGGTTCCCAAATGCGCAGATCGATGCTCATGCTTTTGATCACTGGATTATCTGGTCCAGACTCGATTATTTGCAGACCGTCGCCATATAGCTGGAATATTGCTGAGTGCGGCGTAAAACTAAACTCTCTCACTCCTATGATTATGACATGTTCTGTAGCTTTTATATGGTGTGAAATAGACAACAGATGTATACTATCCAGACTATCGTCGCTACTACATCTGTGCAGTGGTGTCTGAAATATTTAGGAATCCAGCGTTAGTGAAAGCATTAGAAGTCGTGTCTCCGTGGCTGGCGGGGATGTCGAGGTGGACAGGTTTCCCGTCGTTGTGGTTGTAGTTGGCTCGGTATTTGCTTTCATGACGGGTCACAGCACGCCTAAACAAAATCGTACCATATTCATTATGGGACATTAACACATAGTTCATACGGTTATTAGATGAATGTGTTTTACGCCTTCTCAAACCTTAAACTCCACAGGCTTTACATGGGGTACTCATCTGGCGAATCGGACTTTATCTGACTAAGGAACAAATCTTTGAAGGGCATTTAGAAGTGGAATGCATAAGAAAAGCAAGATTCATGGATGTCAACTTCACATTCATGATTCACAATAGAGACGTTGACATCCATAAATCTTGCTTTTCCCACTAAGAAACGTTAGGCCTTTGGGGCCACAACACCGCCCCTCATGCTTGCACTTAGTTTGGGTATGGATACATATAATGCCCTATGTCACTGACTCACAAGAGCAATTGAACAATTTCAAAAACCTTATAGTATAAAACCTTATAGTGTAAAACCTTATAGTATAAAACCTTATAGTATAAAACCTTATAGTATAAAACCGTATAGTTAAAACCTTATAGTATAAAACCTTATAGTATAAAACCTTATAGTATAAAACCGTATAGTTAAAACCTTATAGTATAAAACCTTATAGTATAAAACCGTATAGTATAAAACCTTATAGTATAAAACCTTATAGTATAAAACCTTATAGTATAAAACCTTATAGTATAAAACCGTATAGTTAAAACCTTATAGTATAAAACCTTATAGTATAAAACCTTATAGTATAAATCCGCATAGTGAAAATCAACGACTACATTATTTCCCTTTAACGTCAATGCAGTGTGTTACTGGTGGCATCCCGTGGAAACGACAGACAGCTTTAACTGACACACGTTGCTATGTCTATAATGTACACACATCAATTGTAACGCCGAGAGGTTCAACGTCATTTGATCAGTTTTCCATGGGAAAGGAAAGCCCGAATTGATGCAGGCCTCAGCCAGTGTGCGAAATAGTTTCCAACTGGCAAGCTATGCCTGAAAGTTACTAGCCCACAGAATAATTCACTAGCCCGAAATATGAATGTAGAAACCAAACAAATGATAAAAAAACATAGATGAGGATAACATATTGTCGGCATGACACTGGTTTCATCATTAAGCTGTTAGTATGAACACTTTTTTATCAGACCATAATCTTGCATGGTTTAAAAGTGTATTAAAACCTTACAAGTCGGAGAGAGTGATTTATTTACAAAATGAACCCATGAAAATTAACTAGCCAGTCGGGCCAGTGACTGTGGAGATTTAATGGCCTGACTGGATATTTACTAGCCACGTGCTAGCTGGCTATTTCGCACACTAGTCTCAGCTTGGCAATGTAAATCCCATTGATACAACTCATCGCACGGATATGTCGCGGAAAACCTACAAACATAATGGATTCGAACCTACTATGGAAGGTTTCAGGCGCGATCCCACAATTGATTAACCTCATTACTGCCCACACTGTGAATAAACAGACAAAGCACATAACATAGCTGGTTGCAAACGTTATCTATAAACTGCAAGATCTATCAGTCGGACACCTTCTCCTTATAACAGATACATTTCCTTTTATTTGCAAAATTGTCTTTCCTCCTCGACACGACACAGATGAAGCATAAAGGTACACAGTACAAGCGTGGTATACCTACCTCCACAAGAGGGTGAAAATCACCCCCATCAATAACGCGATGCATATTCCCAGGATTATTGCAGCAATTGTGTCTGAAAAATAGAGAGTATTAATATTATTAACATCAATTATTTGTGTGCATTCTGAAAAAAATATATTCCACCCCAACAGACCATACATAATATAATAATACCTAACTTACAGGTTTTTGCCAAGATTATCGTATGTTTCAACTTATTTTTTGTTTGAATTAAATGTGACCGAAATATGCTCACCTACATAAAGAAACATGTCTGCCAAATGATCAAAACCTATGCTGTTGTTTAGAGCCGCACACAGCAACATTACAGCAGTATATCATCCAATCTGGACCAGACAATCAAGGAGCATCGATCGACCTAAATTAAACAGGATGACATGCATCATCCCGATCCCGTGAGTCGCCTCTTACGACAAGCATGGGTCACTGAAGACCAAGTCTAACCCGGATCTTGCAGCAGCTTCTCTGTGGAACTCTCTCCCTATCGAGTTAAAATCATCTCCTTCCCTAAGTACATTCAAAACACGACTAAAGACTCATCTATTTCTTCGCTACAAGTGACTTCCAATCATCCGTACCTGCCAACTGTATATAGTTTTAACTTGAGCTCAGGAAGCGCTTTGAGCATATCCCTGTGACGTGGAAAGGCGCTATATAAATGGCCTATTATTATTATTATTATTATCTTCACGGTCACCTTCACCTGACCGTCAATGCAAGAAAAGTAGAGACCCGCGTGTGATGATGGATAAAATTAAAAAGTTTAACAAACAAATCAAGCTAATTCGACGTATTGTATTGGGTACTGCTATAAATGCTGTATTTTAAACCTTGTTTGTGGTGTTTTGCCGACTGGTTTTCGCCGGGCCTGCTTAATATTTGATTTTCTAATCCAATCAAAATGTAAAACATTATTTTGCCCGCAATACACATAAATAAAACATCGTGCATACTGGTTGTTTAGTACACTTATCATGTATCTGAAATATATGCGTTTTTGCCCATGTGGTCAGTGGAACGTTTCTGGCACGTACCGGCTCGGACTGATCCAGTGACATACTGGTGATCCACGGCGATGGGAGTACTCTCTGTCGAAATCCTTATTGGGTTGGGTTGATCGGCTGAAACAGAAATTGAACCGAGATGGTCAGCAATGAACATGCGTCCAGTGTCTTTTACGTTTGTCGAAAGTTGGTTTCCATGGCATACCCAAAGATAACCAAAAGAACATCTCATGTCCCGATAATTATTTTGATCCAAGCAACCAGTTATCTGCGTTATCCTTTACAACACACTGACATCAACGATAACCGACTCAACTTGAACCGGCACAACACACTGACATCAACGATAACCGACTCAACTTGAACCGGCACAACACACTGACATCAACGATAACCGACTCAACTTGAACTGGCACACCACACAATAACTAAAGTACTGTCGGAAATGCTAGAAAAATGCTTTTTGACTTATATTAAAAATTCAGAGGTATTACAGTTACTTAAATAACAAATATCACTTGAAGAAACATCTACCTAATGTAGACCGAGGGAATAAATTTTGAGACATGCCCTAAAATGTGTTTTTACTGATGAAAATACCAAAAACTTAGAAAAATAACGGGTAGTGGGACGTTATTTGATACAAACATTAACTGCCTGTGTTACGTCATCAGCATGCACGGTATCGACAGGTGAAATTGACACCCCAGCACACGCTCGGGGGAGGGGTCATCTCAATAGATGTTTTCTTCAAAATGTTGAATATGTGTACTTAAGTATACGTATTGGTTATGTAAGGGATCATTTGTGTATGTGTGTTTGTTTTGAAATAAACAGAATTACTGTACATTGGAAAGAATCCTATCATTTGTGTTATCTTGATTGTAGAAATGTGCAACGTTTTAATAAATGTTTTGCATGTCAACAGTATATTTCATTGCAAAAAATATAAATGTAATTCGGTCAGTTTAACCTAGTTGTGAACACTGGCCAAAGATTTAACGAAGTCACTGGTGTAGCTTCTTTAGAATATATATATATACTTTGTAGACCGCCCGTCTAAGTACTCCCTTGTCAAAGTTGTCAAGGATGCTTTTACGTCCCGGTTTTGCTTTTGAGACGGTCCCTGTCTTGTCTGATTTGTTTACAATATTTTAAAGTTGTTGGTAAGACATACCAACAGCTCTACAAGTTCTGTAATAAACCCTTTCTAAACTAATGAAAGGTTTACCTCTGTCTTTTTCAAGCACAAAAAACTTATAAACCTTTGCAACAATTGACTGCAAATAGTTGGCCTTAGTGGACGCTGTGATAAAGATGTGCATGCATGACGGGAAACTTATTTATCAAGACTTAACATTTATATTAATATTTCTTGAATAAAGAAACGATAATTAAGTAAAGTAACACAAACATTCAACATTTATTTGTTAAAGAAAAACGTTGATTCATATTTTTACACCACCTGTATTATTAGCATAAATGTAAAGACTATTTCAGATTTCTGTGGTTGAACTCTGAAAAAATCCTAAGTTGTTGTTTTGGTACCATATTCTCTCCTGTAAACTGCCCTTTAAATGCATGGGAATGTTAAATCGATTGAAATAAAAATTAGGTACACTATAGGCGAGTTGATATATTGACAACATAGTACATTTATCACCTGTATCAAAGTATTAAGACTAAAAACATTTTTCTAGCATTTCCGACAGTAATTTAGTACTTCAGTTCTCGCTCGCCAGACAATCTTCATGAGTGGTCTTAAGGACATCAGTAAAACAGCTCAATCCCATCATACACACATGAAATATACATGTAAATATGGCACTGACAGAAACAAGCTTCAAGCAATGACAGGAAAAATTGTCAGTGAGCAATTGTGTGAAAGAAGGTACCTTTCTTCAAAACTTCTGTGTTGAACAAGTCCGGAGAGATGTTTCAGATCCATCAGACGGACATACTTACGTCGAATACAGTCATGACCTTGCCATCCGTCTTCACAGCCATCTGCGCATGCGCCAGTAGATGGGTGACACTTGGATCCTTTGGCACAGTGCCCGCATCTGTATTGGCAGTCCTGTCCGTAGGTGAGGCCGGGGCAGCCTGGGGCACAGGAAGACACCGTTATGTAGATAACTGTTATGTGGCAAGTAAGAGGGAGAGGGTGGGAGGGAGGGAGAGGGCGTGCATGCGTGTGAGCGTGCGAGCGAGCGAGTGAGTGTGTGAGTGTGTATATTGTAACCGCCCAGTCACCATTGCTGCAAGTAAGATTACAAGTATAAAGCGTCATGCAGTACAACCTAGACTTTGCCACCCAGTGACTAAACGATGAGCAACGACCTCCGCTTACGTCGGGTGTTACAACAATAAAGTACACAGGGTGCACCCTGTATGGAAAGTACGAAGACAATGTAACGACGCTGGGAATCGAATTCGTGTTTTGCCCTGACGTGTGGAAGCTGTGACCATTAGACCATTAGAATTGGTCTTCAGCAACTCATGTGCTCATGATTTTGATCACAGGATTGTCTGGTCCAGACTCTATAATTTACAGGCAGCCGTCATATAGCTGGAATATTGCTGTATGCAATATTCCCAAACAACATACAAACATGAGAGGCGATTATGATTGTTGTAAGAAGCAACCAGCAAGTAGGACAGGTGAGTATGCGTGTCGTCGTATCACTGTGGCGTACATCGATGCTCTTGATATCAACCACTGGGTTGTCCGGTACAGAGGCGATTGTCTACAGACCGCCGTCAAGATAGATGGAAAGTGTGGCGTTACACAACAAACAAACAATAGAAAGGTTTCTTACTCAATTTGCATCTTGATCCAAACCACCCTTCATCACACCCTGACGAACAATCACCGGTCACGTGGTCGCATGGGCCTTTCCCAAGACAATGACCACATTTTAGGCCACAGTTGAGACCATACGTCTGTAACTTGCATTCTGGAACGGAAGTTAATGCAGCAACATCGATATATCATATATACAGTCAGTATTTTGACAAACAACGGTTTGTGTTTAACTCCCTGGCGGCTTTAATAGACATGTCTCGACTTATGCGTTTACCATTTAAATTTACATTTCAAGTTAAAAGTACTGACTTGTGTTACACATAGGACCAGACCATCCACGGTCACATCCCGATGGGCACTGTCCGGTGTCTCGGTCACAATCTTCCTCACCCCGGCAGTGGCCGCACCTCGTGCAGTTGTACCCGTGAGTGTTTCCGGGGCATTCTGTGGGAGAGATAGACTAACGCTTAGTCTCTGAATATATATAACCCATGCGAAAATGCTCATCACTATTTCTTAGAATGTTCTTTACACAATCAACATAGAAAGATCATGCTTAAAGCTATTCAAGATGTATGGGGTAGTAATTCTGTGATTACATTATGTGTTTTTTTAAACGGCATTGCAGATCTAACAAATCATAAAAATTAAATTATATTCAAAAATGTACATCAATATATATGCAAATCTCAACGATTCCAGTAGTCTTCTCTCTATACACCTTTTGTATTATAGCATTTCCCCCTGTTATCCTTCAGTCTTTCTCTGTCTATGTTTCTAATCATTGCTTGTGATGTAATTAGTTATTGTAAATATCTTCGGAGAAGGGTTTAATAAGTTGAAAGAACTTGTCCCCGATCCTTTTCACATTGTGAATAAAATATGTTTAAACTAAAATATATAATTTTGATAGTAACAAACAACCCCATTTAAATTGAATGGGGGAGATACTTTCATGAAACCCAAATCCCAGCTCCCGACACAGTTCTGAAGTCTAGAACGGAGTCAGTCTTGTTTCATGACATTCAACAGTGACGTTATTCTAGACATTACTATGGACAGTATTCTAGACATTATTCTAGACATTATTCTAGACATTATTCTAGACATTACTCTGGACATGACATTACAACATTACTCTAGACATTATTCTAGACGACATTACTCTGGACATTATTCTTATTCTAGACATTACTCTGGACATTATCTGGACATTATTCTAGACATTATTCTAGACATTACTCTGGACATTATTCTCTGGACATTATTCTAGACATTACTCTGGACATTATTCTAGACATTACTGGACATTATTCTAGACATTACTCTGGACATTATTCTAGACATTACTCTGGACATTATTCTAGACATTACTCTGGACATTATTCTAGACATTACTCTAGACATTATTCTAGACATTACTCTAGACATTACTCTGGACATTATTCTAGACATTATTCTAGACATTATTCTAGACATTACTCTGGACATTATTCTAGACATTACTCTGGACATTATTCTAGACATTATTCTAGACATTACTCTGGACATTATTCTCAGGTCCTGAAACATTCTGCTGTTGTATTGCCTTTTTTATTGTAAGCCTCATGTTTAAATATTACTTACTCCTTATTTATGATTCTCCTGTGGCCATTTACCAACAGGGGGGATTGTCCAAGGTGTCACAGACAGGTAAGTACAATGTAAACAGGTAAATACAACACAGACAGGGAAGTGCAATATACACAGGTACATACAATATACACAGGTAAGTACAATAAACACAGGTACGTACAATATACACAGGTAAGTACAATATATACAGGTAACGTCAGTGATGTCGGAGAGGGAGTGACTGTCAGCTATCGCCGCACCAGAAGATTTTCATTCTGAGTAATAAAGGGCCATTTTTCATATTTCCGTTTGTCTTCGTTCACACTTACGTATGTCACACCTGACCCCCGTCCATCTGTCCTGGCACCTGTTTGGACAGTGTCCAGTCCCGACATCGCAGTTGTCCCCCTCCTGGCATTGACCGCAAGGCGTACAGTACGGACCGTACGTCCCTTGGAAGCACTCTGGAAAAACACGCTGTTGTCATCCAAGGAAGAAACACAAAAACGTATCCAGGCTGCCTTCACTTAATGGAGCTTTCAAGAACACTTACAAATTTCGATTCGAACAATAAATAGATAATGCTGATTTAGGAATCGGGCAGAAAGACCTACATCTCTCAACACCATGACAGTATCGGTAAGTAACCCGTTCCTAAATCATCAAAACGCTATATCTGTTGCCGCTACCAGTGCTCTGTCAGTAACACATTGAGTGATTGCCGTTAGACCTGCATCATATACTACACATCAAAAGTTTAGACTCATTAGTGTAAATGTAGCCACTTACTTCAGTCAACTGTTCTAAACTAGATTTTGCAAAATATTCCATACTGTTTAAAGGTACTGTTAACACATGAACTGATGTATTGTAAAACAAATTCGTAATGTTGAAAAGATTATTGTCATGAGTTCAATATATGATGAAACTCAGTGAAAATTGGCGAATTCTTAACAAAACTTTACACCAAAACACAGCTGTTCACATGCACGGTATTTGCACATGCTTTTCAACAATTTGATGCATTATCCTCATGCAATTCATCTGCATAAGGTTTGCAGTTGGTTCCCTTAAAGATAGTGGTAAACTTTGTTTTTGTTACTCTTTAACCATTACATATGAAAGATTTGTGGTTAGTCTTATGCGGAACACCAAATTTATTCTTTAAAAACTTGTGGTTAATTAATACCGAGCGATTAAAAGTGGCCAAAAAGTCGCCTGCTTCCCTCTCGCCCGCCAACGAAACCACAGACAGGTTACGTAACTCTGTCGCCAGAGCACTGCAGTGACGTCATATGAGGAACGATTTTCAGTTAGTTGTATAGAAAATGTGTAGCACGCTCATCATTTTGATGATTTCTCGACATCAACGACGACATGCCGAATCGTTGCTTTGTCGTCAATTGCTCCTAGTGGTCGGGCGATGGTGTCCCCATGCACAGATTTCCACAGGACCCGCAGTTCGTGCTAAATGGGTTATGTTTGTGAGTGCGAAGCGAGCGTTGTGGAAGCCTGAAACGATATCTTACTTGTGTTCAGATCGCTTCACGGAAGTTAAAGAATCAAAACTACTTACTAGTTGTAGTAAAATATGCATACGATTGATGACCATAAAGATTTTCTATGACACAACTTGTAACATAACGATTTCTTCCTCGGAACTGAGGTTGTGGTCGAAGTAACAATAATATTGTAAGTAGTATTATATTGACACCCACCTCGCTGCCACGAGAGAAATTGTTATGATATACGCTATGTCATGCAAAATCCTATTGGCCATCAATAAAATACATATTTTACTACCAGTAGAAAGTAGTTTTGATTTTGTAACTCGGTGAAAACAAACCTAAATACCATTTATCCTCAGACTGGCGGATGTTCCCGACAGGGCGCCGCCATTTTAAAATAAAAAAATCTGTTAGAATTAATGAGATTATAGTTTGTTTTCATCAAGTTAGAAAATCAAGACTACTTTCTACTCGTTGTTAAATATGTATTGGAATCATAACCAAACGGATTTTGCATGACACAACTTATAACATAACGATTTCTTCCACGGAAGCGAGGTGGGGGTCGAAGTCACAATACTGCGCGATAAATTTCTTGCTACATTCCATGGTTAATGTCCACTCACCAGTATGTAGATACTAGTCAATGTGCGTCTTTATATTTGGTCTTATAATCCTAATTAGTTTATTATCACACTTGTATGCATTTTGAAACTAAATAAAAAGCAGACGATCTGCTGATACTTATAGTGAATTTATAACAGAACTGTAATATCTAGACATTTTATAGTTTGCCAATGTGAATCATAATTCGCACACACACCCTAGTGCATGTTGTCTGTCTCATTACACTTCACGGCGAAAACAATGATTCTGTTGAATGCTACGACAAATGAATAAAAACAAAATGCAAATATTAAAATTAAAACAGATTAAAGTTATAGGAACAATATCAGGCCATTACCTTGTTCGAGGAATGTATCCATCAATATCCACAAAACTGTTCCAAATGATGTGCCTTTTAACAGTTTAATATACGAAAAAGTGATAAATCTTTTCAGGTATTGGTGTATAGTCTCATTGGTCACCCAAGATAGCACACCTGGCAACTAATTGCATAATGTCCGCCTTTCTTTAAAACAGTAATTTAGTTAGCCAATAATGGGCAATCAATCAATGTATTGCCGGTTAATCCTTTGAAAGAAGGACGTTGTTTTACGCAGACACCGACACGACAGAGTGTATTCAGTATAGATTAGTAAATCTACATACATAAACACTACCTTTTGACAATTCCGCTGTGTAAGATAAAAGTAATTAATCAATCAGCGTGTTATCGGTTAATCCCTTTGATCGATGTTTATAATGTTGAATATTTACTCCAGACACAAGAAATGCCAAATGGGAACCTTTGTCGGGTAATCTAAGTGTGTTACCACTAATTATACCTGTTATAAATTCATTAACTGACCATCAAGTGAATGATGACAAATAACATGTGTAGGTTTATACCACCTAACACGGGTTACAACGAGGGAGTATTAATTTCTGTATTGCATGTGAAAAACTTATGGGCCGACACTGTTTTGAGAATACAAACAGATTTTTACATGACATGATTAAATATCGAGGTAAAACAACACAGAAATGGGATCAATTTGGATCAGTCATTATACAAATAGGGCCTAACGACACCAATCGATTTTGACAGAATCGTCTATGAAAACAAGTTGTAACTCGGAAACTAGGCAAAGCAGGAGACAAAATTAAATGACAGTAGATTGTGAGAACATATAGCTTTCATTTTCCACAACAATTGTCACGATTTCAGGTTTATACAAGCCTGTAAACACGATAATTTACCCATAACGATGCCAGTTAGTGATTTATGTATTTGTACCCCTAGGGTTTATGTACCTTTAAGTTAGAAAGAGTCAGTGATTTCATGAAATCCCTGTGACCCCCAGGGACTTCATGTATTCCCTAAAATTTCCAGGGTTCCATGAAATTACTGAAATATTAGCTCAGTGATTTCATGAAATCCCTGTAAGCCCTTATTGAAATAGAGAACACCAAATTTATAATGCGAGTACAGAGTATTTCCTGATAAAATTCATTTGTTGGGACAAGATAGAGTGTTATCATACAAGCTATTACACTTCAGTAGCACTTTAAAACATTTACAACGTATTGATTTACACTGGTTAGGACAACAGTTACATTTCTGGAAACCCTGACCACCACAATTCGACTTGAAAATCACAGCTGTGTGGAGAAACGGTTCTTTGTCCATTGTCACATCATTCGTAGAAAGAAGACGCTGAGGACAAACATGAAATATATGGTTTGAAAAATAAATTGTCAAAGTTTTTAACTCCAAAGAACTAAGGGATGAAATGAGACTCAGCAGTAAAGTTTTAAGCTACAAACATTATTTTCACACATTCACTGATATCCTAACAGGGAATGTGTGTAGTGGAACACCAATAAAATCAGTAATTTTATGAAATCCCTGCAAATTTTAGGGAATACATGAAATCCATGGTTTCACACATTCCCTGTAACATATATACATATAGTGAGTGCTTTAGGTGAGTCTAAACTTTTGATGGGTAGTATATATGGTAGATCAGTGGAATGGTGTAACAGTATATTCTATCCTGCCATACCCCTTACCTCTGTCACACCTGTCGCCGACCCAGCCAGGCTGGCATATACTATTGGGGCAACGTCCTGTGTCCACTTCACATCTTTCACGACATCGTCCACAGGGAGTACATTCAGGCCCGTATGTGTTGTTACCGCACTCTGTAATGGAGGTAGATAACTCTCCGATGATATCTAATAAAGGCACTATCCGAAGGTACTTTTTGTTTGTTTGTGGGAGTGAGTGAGTGAGTGAGCTGGTTTAATGCTGGTTCTAACAGCTTTTAGAACTTCCCAACTTTATCACACAGGTGAACGTACAAAGCACCCCGATCTGTCACGTGCACATATGTATATTGGCGGGTTGTATATGTATATATTAACTGGGGCGACAGAAATAGCCGTTTGATTAAAGGCCCTCGATCGTCCTGGGGTTGATTCCCTACTATCTTACCCTCAGCACAGAGAGAACCGGTCCAGCCAGTTTGACATCCATGTGGGCACTCTCCGCTATCCGAGTCGCACGCAAGGCCGAATCTGCAGTGGCCACACACATCGGTGCAGTTGTCGCCGTAAGTGCCGCCATCGCAGGCTGCGAAAGAAAACTAGGTAACGAAATTGTATCCATGTAAATGTCCCGAGAATGTTGTCCTTTTCAATCCCGTCAGTATACATGGCTCCCTCGAATAGTTTCCCTTCCTTACTCCATATACGGGAATATGGGATCAGATCGAAACGAAACTGATTCCACAGGAAAACAATTTCAAATGTCCTCTGTACTCTTTAATAAATGCTATGATATGTCCACTCTATTATAATAAATCCACAAGGACCAAATCGCAACCACCACGCTTAAATAGCAACTCAAATTAATAAACTATGCGTTAAGAGATGGATTGGCCTCACTTGTGAAACAAAGCCTTGTTGGCATGCGTTGGTCACGTTATCACAAAGAGCGGAAATGACACTGTGCTTAAGATATACTAATGGCTAATGAGAAGTTGAATTTGTACCAAGGTGGTTTGACTCGGCGCTGATGACCATGCTTATGAACTGGTGATACTTACGAAGGTGGAACCTGAACTCTGCGGTAAAGTTATACGATGTGACCTGGAAAAAGTTGATTGGATACTTTTTCTTTCCTTTAAACTGCAGGAGAGGTTTTGTCCTCAAGTCCCCTTCCCTCCCAATGCTGACTGACCCCTGTCCATCCCAGGCTACCCAGAACGTGTTGTATTCTGTACAGTTCAGCACCGTTTTGAGCTTGTAGTTCGGGAACGTATTGCAGGAGTAGCAGCCCTCGATGATGCCAGAGATTCGGTGGGACTTGGTGACACCCAGGGAAATGAAATAATAGTTTCCTTTTGTGGGCGCCACCTTGATCTTCTCCGTCAACAGGACATACACGTTGCCGCAGGACTTCACTTGAAAGGTCAAGGACGTGTGACCACCGACGGGGACGCCGAAATCATTGCCGAGAACAAACTTGGCCTTCCCGTCCGTCTTGGTGGTAACTACACGAGCTGAAACTCAGACGTACAGTGTAGTTAAGAAACAAGTTGAAATGTGTCTAGGTATACCTCTGAGTTATAACTCGTGACCTATGATCACGCTGTAGGGCTCACCGTTTGTACCATCGCCATGGCAATAGCTTGAAATGGTTTTGAAGATTATCATAATACTACTAATGTTTCTTAAATGACCATTACTATCATACGTATCTAGGTGTGTATAATGGTGGCCTGAGAGAGAGAGAGAGAGAGAGAGAGAGAGAGAGAGAGAGAGAGAGACAGAGAGAGAGAGAGAGAGAGAGAGAGAGAGAGACAGAGAGAGAGACAGAGAGAGAGAGAGACAGAGACAGAGAGACACAGACAGAGACACAGATATATAGAGATATATAGACATATATATATATATATATATATATATATATATATATATACATACATACATATTTAACATTCTGGCTTTGAGGATATTTACCTGCATCAACGTTTTTCAGAACACCAATCTGAATGAAGAACAGTACACCTTCAACAATTATATGTTGTTAGCTAAACATTTATTACTCTATAATGTGTTAAAATGGGAAAGCCACATTTGGAAAATACAAATTGCCGCTAAAGCCACATTTCAAGCACAAACCCCGGTGCCGGGAAAGCAACATTTAAGAAAAACAGAGATGAAAATGGTGTGGCTCAACTGACAATGGGCGTGTTTGAGTGATCGTGTGAATGTGGCTCTCCCGGCAATGTGCTATTAGCTAATCCATGTTACCGTAAATAATGTGAAATATTCATTATGTAAAATATAGAAATCCAGTTGAATTGTTCGTGGAGAAAAGTCCAGATCGCGCAAACTAACTGCCTCACGTATGTACTCAAACACCTTTTACGAATTATTTATGATTATACAACCCGTTTTTTCTTTGAAGCATTTTAACTTATGGGAGGGTCAATTCAATGTTGTATCCGTTTCTGTTTTTTCCGTGACTGTTTGACATAGGAGCTATTGTTGCCTCAGTTATTATGTTTACTTTCATGATAAAAAGTAAAAAAAACCCTAAAGATTGTTTTTAGAAGAATGACCATTTATTGCCCAAATCTACTAAAAACAGCCACATATGTAACGCCTAACTCTTTCCATTTCGTAGCTGTTTTTAAGCAAAATTTATGACTACTAGTAGATTTTCCAAAATCAGTATTTTTGCCGCCATTGCGGTAATGACATTTTGATTTAAAGTTTTATTTAGTTATTTAGTTATAATTAAATAGATTTAAAATAATAATAATACAAGTTTTCATGCCATCTAAAACCGTAACTGTGAACTTTCGTCAGGTTATGTTAACCCAATCAATGACGTCTCAGCTTCAAGTGCTGCTCCTGCTTTAATGGCAATAACGTTAGTAGTCGTATATATGTCACTATCCTACAAGTTTTGAATGGGGAATCCTATGTTAAAATTTTCGCAAAAAAGAGGTCCCCAATTAGCGAGCTCTGCCGCGGCGAGCAACCGCCGCCCACTAATTAAACACATCGCGCCGCGTAGGGTAAACACCAGCCCCGGGAAGCTAGCGAGAAAAGTACACAGACGTCCGATATCGAGACGTAGCTAAAAGTATTTTAATGAGACCGCTGTTAATTAATTAGACATGCACGCGGTCTTATAGTATGAACAGAACAACCAAACTGTAGAACTTGAAAACGACAATTAAATGTGAATGATATCGGTAGTTAATTAGTTATGGGCGCAGAGTCTTAAGAGTCATATGAGTTTGAATATCTCGCCGAGAAGTGTTACGCGCGCACCAACGCCATTCGAGAGTGCCTAGGCTTTAGTGTAAAATGTCCTACCTGTGTGACTCGTGTTCTGGTCTGCTTCCAGTGGACGCAAACGGTGAAGATTACCAAGGTCTATTTACTTGTGTGTATTGCAAGACCAAACTGAAATACACAAACCATCGTTTCTTAACGCATAGCAACAAGTGTGTTGCGAAGAAAAAGGTGTCTTCAAAGATTCACTCCTGCTCGTGTAAGAGAGTGTACTACACAGACTAATCCTGATATACAAGAAATTTTGGTGTCAGTACAGAGACTATAGACTGATGTCATTCCGCTAGCGCCATCGGACACTGTACATATCAACCAAAGCTCCTAGTATTCTCGTGTGAATACATGTACACAACTGTTCAACATCAACAACAACCAATGAAAGGTACTGTTAGGAAGTGCATTATTTATTTATTTTGTCATCTTCATTTTTATCTTGAACTTATAGGAAGTTTGTTTTGTGCCCGCATCATCGATGTATCGCTTTAAAACGTCATAAACATCAAACGAGGTCTTCAGCAGGGACGCTGTAAGGAAAAAGAAACATGTTCAAAGGTCTTATCATGCATGGGTTCCCACAAAACCATCATCTAAAGCAATGCCATATACACACGGATCCTAAGCAGACACAGAAAAACAGAACCCTACGACGATTATTAGGGGCACGGGATTGAGCGATCATCAAAATCACGAAAGCTTTGAAAATGGCACACCGGAAAAAAAATAGATGAGGTAAGACATATTTTATCAATACGCAATGTGAGAAGTTTCGTTTGTCATATTAATATCATTAGTCTGTATAGTAGAAGAAATGTTCGATGCAAGAGAAGGTGATATATTCAATATGCGAATAATTGCGCGGTTTGATAAACACTTCATGAAAATGTTTTTTCTCCATAATATTAATAACATCAACACCTGTAGTAGAAGAGGTAATAGAGGTGTGTGTGTGTGTGTGTGTGTGTGTGTGTGTGTGTGTGTGTGTGTGTGTGTGTGTGATGAATAATTAATAATGGAAGATAATACGTACTGTGATGAGAGGTGATATATTCAATATGACGTTATGTTAGATGAATTGAGCAGCATTATGTTATAAGATGAATAATTAATAATGGAAGATAATACGTACTTTTGCATAATCGTTTTCCGTGCCCTATACTAGGCTCTTGCAATTGGCTCTGCTCCGCTGCCACTCGTCCCACAACTCTGTTATTTTCGTTGCGGGATCGTTGATTAATCGGGGGCGAAGGTGGACGACACGCCAACACAGGGCCAGCAATATACGCTGCCGAGAGACTTCGAGGTAGTCTATAGGAGTAATCATCAAAGAGTCTTTCACGTTTTCTCTCCATTTAGCGCGTCCAACAGGCGGCGGTAATATGGGACCACGAGCTAGTTCTTTCACTATCCAGCGTCCAACAGGCGATACCACTACAGAGCCATGTTTTGGACATGGAATCGACATGAGTAACCTCCACCTGTTTCAATTTGTCACGTCCAAGTGGTGGTAGAGTATTTTCCGAGTCGGTCGGCCCTAACATCAAGGCCTTCAGACCTTGCCGAGTCACTACCGTTATTAGCCATCATCATCATCATCAGTTGTATCACTCACCACAAGTCTATTGAGAAGGAAAAGTTTCGAAATAGTCACGACTTATAAACCCCAGAGTACTAATGGAATGAATAACATTACTCCCACCAAAACCTCAACCACTTATTTTCTACACGTGGTTAATTACAAACACATGATGTCTCTATTGTCACACCCTCACGCACGAGTTAATATTCCCCATTTCATCCCGAAACATCATTAGTGTGATTTCAATGAATATTCACGAGTTGAAGAGGGTAGTATGTAGTAAATACAAATAGCTCTAGTCTCGGTGAACGTCAAAACCTAGTGTGTCAACTGTATAACGAAGGGACAAACACGTGGCCAGATGGATAATACAAATACTGGTCACTCAGCAGCGAATATTGTGTTCAACTTATGATGTCGTTTTGATGGAGAGAGGTATCCATTCGGCTAAGGTATTCACCAAACCCTGTGCAAAATGCACAACATAACATCATTCAGAGAGAGTTGTGTCTTGAGTGAAGCGGAGGAAACTAAACTAAACTTTCCACAATGGAACTGTGACTACGTATTCTCTTTGGATACTCCGCTGTCAGTATGTACCCACAGGAAAACTCTCAGAGATCCAGTTGAAGAACGAAGCGTTGAGCAATTCGAACTACAATGTATATCAATATCGCTTACGCGATGAATACTTGACATTCATAAAGCACTTTAGAAGAGAAAAAGGAGACGAATCCTTTAACAATATCAGTGGAAACAAATCTGAACAAATTAAAGGAGCAGCTATCAGAATGGGTACATACAATCAGAGACCATATTATATGGTCTCTGATACAATACAACATCGCATCGCTCGCGATGAACTGTAGATATACATGGAATCAAGTAGCAGTCGTAGATTATAATAGACGGTGAGGGTGTGTATTCATCTAATGTAGGCGATACTAATACAGGATGTGTAACCATATGTTCTACAATATCAACAACAACAACAACGTCTGAAGGTAAGAATTCACATTTATTATTATTATTATTATTATTTACTTGTAATACTGTGTTTCATTTTTTTTATTACTTATAAATCACATCCACATACTCACGCGCGCGCACGCACACACACACACAAAATGATATATGAATAAACACTCATCACATAATTATACATGAATAAACATGAATCTAGTATACACACGCACATAATGATACATGAATAAACACTCATAAGATAATTATTCATGAATGTAGACGAATCTAGTTTTCACGCGCGCTACTCTCTCCCCCCCTCTCTCTCTCTCACACACACACACACACACACACACGCACGTATTATAAACACGAAGTTAGGTATACAGAGCTAGGTAATGGTGGTTGATGTTAATAGTACGTAAGACGCACTGGCGGTACACTTTGTCGAGTAGTCTTCGGGGATGGCGACGTGCTGCACCAGTGCGACGTCGTCTATGCTCAGTGACGAGAGGTGGATCTCGTAGTATTTTATCAACAAATTGTCGGGGGTCATTTACGAATTTTGAAAATACGTCGTTAACGAGTATTATAACTGAGGGTGTGTAAATACAGCTACTGAGACTCACCCTCTTTTGATTGTCATCCCTCGGACGCGGATCAATCAACAAATTAGCAATCAAAACACGCTCACAGCGGACACGGTCAGTCAAAGATACCACTGTTAATTACTCGCAAATTGCTCGTTACTCTGATATAGCGTCTAATAACGCTCACCCACCTTGCTCGAGCTAGGGTAAACCATGGAAGTAATTTCGTGGATTAGTTATCACATAAACACCCGTAGATTCGTGTTTTTTGACGATACATCTAGAGGCGTTGAAGTGAGCACGTGCATTAATTAACTCAAACCCTCGAGAAGTCCTGTTTTTTGACGATACACATCGTTAAACCTCAGTTGTTTATGGAGAAGATATACCGAGACGTGTAATGAGAAAGGATATTGGTCTTTCCCGACTATATCTACATCGTGCGCGAGTAAGTGTATTCGTTATGTTCCTTTCTGTAGACACGTGCAAACATCTACGTCCCATAAGCTCCTTTTTGACCCCAAACCGTCCACCCTAGTAACAATTGGTCATTTTGCTTCGATTATGTTTTCCTGCACCGCGCATCCCGTCGCTAATTGTTATTCTCCCCCTCGCATCCTACCGCTAATTGTTATTCTTTTCATGTGTTTGTATTATGTGTAAGGATATAAAAGCTACCCGATTCTCTCTTCAGACCATACAACTCGCCACCTCAGCACGACGACGTGATGGACATCTTGAAGAAGAAATTCAACACAAGCAGCAACGCCAAAGCCGAGAAGAGAGATGTGAAACGTAAGGCACCACAAGTAGCTGAATCGAATTCTTCTTCGAAGAAAACGAAAAAGAGAGCGGTGAACTGGAAGGACGACGAGCCCGAGGACCCAAAGACAGCAGAGGAATGCTCCTCACAAGATACTGATATAGTGATCTGTGACGATGACGATGTCTACGCGCTGAGTAACCTAACTCAAAAACAGAGCGCTTACTACGACGATGACGCTACCAGCGATGTTATCCTGTTAAGCGATGACAGTGACGACAACGACTACGACTTCGGCAACCCCAACGCGGTACACTTCACTTTAAAGGACACTATCTCCAGAAAGATTTCAATCAAGATCGATGCTGGTATGATTTACATCCAAAAATATACATTTGCATCATCGAGAAACCTGCGGTTCCAAGAAAAAGTCGCGAGAAAGGTAGATACAACTTAAGATGTAACAATTATATATTAACTATTCTCTCCATTTAATGTGCGTGCGTGTGTGTGTGTGTGTGCACGTGTGGGCATGCGTAGGGGGAAAACTTAAGATGTATTATATATATTGTAGCTTTATTTAACGGTATATGAAATGTCACTATTTTCCTATGTTTCGCATGAATGTGTGTGTGAGTGTGCGAGTACCTTTCGTTGGTTGTTGTTGATGTTGAACAGTTGTGTACATGTATTCACACGAGAATACTAGGAGCTTTGGTTGATATGTACAGTGTCCGATGGCGCTAGCGGAATGACATCAGTCTATAGTCTCTGTACTGACACCAAAATTTCTTGTATACCAGGATTAGTCTGTGTAGTACACTCTCTTACACGAGCAGGAGTGAATCTTTGAAGACACCTTTTTCTTCGCAACACACTTGTTGCTATGCGTTAAGAAACGATGGTTTGTGTATTTCAGTTTGGTCTTGCAATACACACAAGTAAATAGACCTTGGTAATCTTCACCGTTTGCGTCCACTGGAAGCAGACCAGAACACGAGTCACACAGGTAGGACATTTTACACTAAAGCCTAGGCACTCTCGAATGGCGTTGGTGCGCGCGTAACACTTCTCGGCGAGATATTCAAACTCATATGACTCTTAAGACTCTGCGCCCATAACTAATTAACTACCGATATCATTCACATTTAATTGTCGTTTTCAAGTTCTACAGTTTGGTTGTTCTGTTCATACTATAAGACCGCGTGCATGTCTAATTAATTAACAGCGGTCTCATTAAAATACTTTTAGCTACGTCTCGATATCGGACGTCTGTGTACTTTTCTCGCTAGCTTCCCGGGGCTGGTGTTTACCCTACGCGGCGCGATGTGTTTAATTAGCGGGCGGCGGTTGCTCGCCGCGGCAGAGCTCGCTAATTGGGGACCTCTTTTTTGCGAAAATTTTAACATAGGATTCCCCATTCAAAACTTGTAGGATAGTGACATATATACGACTACTAACGTTATAGTTTTGCCTGACCTTGGAATGCGCGTTGCTTTAAATTTGTATTGTCACAAGGCAAAGTATTTACCACACCAGACAAGGTCAACCGTAATGGTAAAATCTCACGTTTGTGTATTTCCCTGTTGAGGCTATATTTAAAAAAATTGGAAAACGTTCCTACGTCTGAAGTTGATAATATAATGATACACAATGCAATGTTCAAGCCACCGTAAGATAGATGAGCCCAGCGACCATTCAGACCTCCACGTAATATTATAATAAATGAATAATAACACGCATAATTATATGATAAATCTATTTGTGTCTGAGCACTTTGCTAAGAATTACTAGGACATAAAGAACTTTAGGACACAATGAACTATAGTAGGTCCTTGATGTGAATTTCAGTATAATGGGCGACCCTCAGTAAAATCGAATATACAGCTAGGCAAAAGAAACTATACACACGTAGAATTTGAGTTTGACAGGAAGAGTGAGTGAGTGAGTATGGTTTTACAGCCAATTTAGCAATATTCCAGCAATATCACAACGGGGGACACCAGGAATGGGCTTCACACACATTACCAACGTTGGGAATCGAACCCGGGTTTTCGACGTGACGATCGAACGCTTTAACCACTAGGCTACCCCACCGCCCCTTGACAGAAAGAGGTTCCCCGAGTTGTAAGTGACAGATAATGCACATACATATGGCTGCAAATCATATGCCAATATGGTAATGAAGGGAATGGTTTCCACAATCACTGCAATACTGCGGGCTTTCTGAAAATATACTACTCACACTTTGCTAAGGATCACAAAATTCCCAACTTTACTTAAACATAGATTTATAATTTTAAATTGTATTCATTTAAAACAGGATAGATAATGATATGGTAACACCTCTTAGGCAAACAGCCACTTTACTCTAACCTTATGCAACTGATACATGAGTAACAATAAAAATGGTTTTCATGGCACCAATCAACCATTTTGCAAATCATAGAACGAGTTATTGACAAGTACACAACACCTGTCAATAGTAGGTATGAGATCCACAAGATGGAGTCACATACCGAAACCTAGGATCCATGCTTACAATAAGCTATGATACTTAAACCAAATTAGACCCCACATCATAGTTTTCTGTTGCATCAATGATTTGATCCTTAGCAAAGTGTGAATAGTATACTTGAGGGAATGGGAACTATTTTCTATTATCATAAGAATGGTACTCAATGCTTACAAACATACCCATTTGTTTCGTATCGGAAATATCACATATAAACTAAGAATTAAATATTCATTTCTATTTTCAGATACGTGATACGATACCACACTCGACTAATATTCATTCTCTGTCAAGTATCTAGTATGTTACCAACCATATGATGCATTCATTGGGCAGACAGATGACGTATAGCTTACAAAAACGTCACTGCCTGACAATAACCAGTCTCCATTACATTACTAAAAAGCAGTACGTGCACGTAAATCGCAGTCAAGACACGGGTTAGGACTGATCTGCTGCCTCTAATGTCTGCCATAAGAGGCGACTAACGGTATCGGGTAGTCAGGCTCGATCCTTCACTTGCAATCCCCAATCTTAGCTCATGATGTCAGTAGAGTTTCTGACTCGGTCATACCCGGGATATTGCTCAGTGAAAACAACCAAGTATATACAAATGTAGATTGTTTGAAAAGAGTAAAACATCATCTTCCGTTACATAAAGACAGTTGTCATGATGCTCTTGTCTTCAATCTGACATTTTGATTTCAGATACTCACTGTGAGTCTTCTGAGGGCTATCCTGTGGTTTGTGCCAAGACGTGCACGTCGTTGTAGACACGTGACGGTAGCTAACTCACCTGCATGTACGTGCAGCCAAACAAGGTCAGTTACGACGACATACGCAGCCACCAACGACACACACATCGACGACATGTTCCCACGGCGTTTGCCAACAGTTTTGCTGATACTTGAGACTACTTTTCAATAATGCATGAACCATCGACTGTTCCGTATGCCAGAAGGTCAAATGAAAGCTTGACTTCCACGTGATAGCATCGTCTACACACGTGAGTGAAATGTTGCACGTATAGTGGAGTGTTTCAGCACGTCCTCAGTACTTGTGTCGCCGATCTGGACACGGGTACAGAGGGCCGCGTTCAGAAGCAGCGGCACCAGGCGATGTCCAGTACTGTACGTACGACATAGTGCCTGGCTGGTCTACTTGAATCGTAAGTACTGATATATTTCCCAGGACCTAGTATTGTTTCCTTTGTGATGCTTACTAATGCCTTATGTCAAGTGGTGTTTCCTTTGACAGGTTTAACTGTTGTACAAGGTAGTTAATACCTGAACACAGGCGTAGGCTTTTGTGGAACGTTACTGCTTGATTTGTTGTTTTAGATAACTTGAGGTGGCAATAACTTGGGGTAAAGGAAACCGCTTCGTGGTAAAATGTATTTAACTTTATACTATATACAGTTTCAAAATTGTAGAATTTTGACGACATATTTCCAGTATCGAGGCTAGATTTTGTGAGTGGTGCGTTGGGCTTTACTTTAAATATATACCAGTTATCGTCAGCATGTTCGCATTGAAATCTGTGAAGACTCAAAGCACATTATCTCAGACGATAGACCCCTAATATGCTTCTGTACAAAAGTCCTCAATCCCCAGGTATGATGACATTTAATATACCAAGTCACTAAACCTGGTCCTTCGACTTATTAAGCTGCCAAAACGGGCAATATT